TGATATTTTTAAATCAAACAAAAATGCATAACAGTAGAGCCATGAGATTTCCTACCTACTAAAGTTATGATGCTAGAGCCACGATACTTCAGAAAAAAGTAGGACTTTTCCCAACCTGGTCCAGCATACTTTGCAGTTTGCAGTTCTTTGCTATTTTCAGTCATATTCACAGCAACATCAGCATACAGAAGCATTTTCAACCTTAAGCCACCCACATGCACACCAACATCCATTCTCCTTGCCCTTGGAGGGCAAGGAGATTGTAAATAAATGATTGTAAAATAGGGTAAACGCGGTATATTCCGACATCGTAGGTAATTCCGTCACCTCTCCAGCTTTTCCTTTATATTAAGCTTTGTTTTAGTTCCATGCAATCATTGATGGTTGAAATTGTGACGTCATACATTTGCGTGTCGAAATACTGCAAAAACACTAGGTCTTGGCCATCTAGTGGGAAAATATTGAGATCCAAAGAGAGACAATGCATGCCACCTGGTGAGATCATCAAAAAATGTGTCAAATTTGACAGTTGACAAATAGTGAATAACTGTTTTTATAGGAAGAATATTATGGTTTGAGACTTTTAAATACGTCTGTGAATATATTAGGAATCCTTTAAGTATACTTGTATTCGCTGATTTCAAGTCATAAATAAATTAATAGATGATTAAGTTGAGATGTTGCATTTAGACACATGAAAACTAATTCCGACACAACTTGAATTGGACACACACAGATCGTTCAAAGCTTTGTACAAAAATTGAAATTTGCTTAATTAAAAGCCTAATAGCTGTTAATTAAAACGTAATTAAGTAGTGTTCAATATTCGTTAGTGTTCTAATTCAAAGCCGTGTTGTATCCCAATACAGCTCACACAGCAAACGGAATTCGAACACGTGGATGTCGGCAATACGTATCAGTTAAATTTGAAGCGCTGACGCAATACGACTCACCACGTGGCGAATATTGCCACACAATGTGACGGAATATAGGGATTTGGTAGGTTTCCATTCTAAAGGCTTTTTAATAAATATGGCAACATTTTGTGACGTTTCATCGTTGCTGATGCGTAGTGAAGTGATTTGAGAGTCATGTGAAGGCAACAGAACTTACGTAATGCATACGGTTTTTTTATAGTTTTTCATTTTTCGATGCGTCCTTAATGTGTCGGAATATACCGCGTTTACCCTACCTGCTATGAGGGCAGCCCTCATAGCAGGTATTTTACAATTATTTATGATATAACCCATGTCCACTTTCTCAAGTAACTTCAACATAGATAAAAAAATTCTCTTTTATTCTATTGAGTATTTATATTTGCATATTATTGTTTGATATTTTTTGCCATTCAAGCATTTTACATTTTGTTAACACTTGTTAAAAGCACAAATATTGTCCACATATATTAATAATCTAAATATGATTGGTACTATTTGCAAAGAAAACTAGGAACTTCATTGAGCCACATCCACAAGATGTTAAATTCATAAAAAATTATTTTTGGATTCAAAGCAGCAATATTCAAAAATATTCAGCAGCAGTTTAAATTTTAAAAACTTACTAAAATACTCTTACAGTGCCTGCATCATAAGGATACCAGACACAAGATGCCAGTTGCTAGTTTAGTGTTTACACTTTAGTGAAGTGACCATAGTGGCAAACCAGAGCTTTTTTGGAATCAGTTCATTTTCAATTTGCTCAAAAACTCAAGATTTAAACCAATTTCTTAAGTATGATAATGCTGGTAGCCTATGTGGTATCCATGATACTTTACTGGTCTACTTATAGGACTCAAAAATGAACTTGGGGGAGAGTCTAAAAAATTCTCTGCTTTGTCACTTTACAGTTTACACTATGCCTATGGTGTTTACCACTAGTCCACTACGGCACTACCAGCCATAGTGGCAATTGGCAAAGCAGAGAGTTTTTTAGACTCTCTCTCAAGTTCATTTTTCAGTCCTATAAGTAGACCAGTAAAGTATCATGGTCATGGATACCAGCATTATCATACATAAGAATTTGGTTTAAATCGTCAGAAAATTAGGAAATTGAAAATTAACTGATTCTAAAAAATCTCTGGTTTGTCACTAGGCTACCAGCCAGACTGGAATAATGGGCAGGAGCCACCCGTAGAAGAGCAAAAATCACCCGTGCACATGGCACAATTTCACCCATGGCCATGGATAATTTCACCCGTGGCCTATGGCCATGGATATTTTCACCCATCGCCATGGATAAATTTAACCGTGCCCGTAGAGCTACAATTTCAACAGTAATGGTCAAAAGCCCTAAAAAAGCACATCACAAAAAATAATTCATTACATTTACATGTAAGGCTGTACTGAATTCGTCGTAACTTCTTTCACAGATAAACTTAAAGTAACTCAGCAACTGCAAGCATCTAAATAGCCATCTATTGCCGTCAATTGGTGGCTTCTCTCATAATGCGGATTGCGGACACGCGATTAACATTGCGGACACATCCTTTAAACTTGCAGAGGGCTTATGGAAATATTCATTATACGAGTTGTGCGAGTGGATGCTAAGCAAATAATTGTGCAAGTAAATGCTAAGCAATTACATAGAGTGTTCACGACTTGACACCTAAGATTAATATTCATATGAAAAGCACGAGTACCAATTATAATAACGAAACTCATCAAGGGTGAAGAAAAAATGTTTTGTTTGGTATTGCATATCACATGTAAGGAAATAAAACAACAATATCTTGTTTGGTATTCGTGTTAACAAATGTGGTAATAAAATAACTTTATTTAATTTGGCATGCATTTTAATATATTAGATGCCATTATTTATCTTTAAATCGTTTACGAAGCCTTTCATAACACACCTACAATTACTGTGTAAAAGTGAATGCTTCACCGAGAGAAATGGGTGGTCTGGATGACTTACTTTGACGAGTGAACCGCCTCCGAATAGCGATGCACTTTTTCGACTCGCTTGCCACATTTGTGGATAATACTGACCTATTTCGGGCCCTTTAAATTTCAGGTATGACTCACATGTGGCGATAAGTCGCTCTGACACTCAGACGCTCCCTATGTATCCGTGCTACGGGTGGCTTCAAAGGAGATTTGATGCCACAAGAGAGTCATGCCTGAAATTTAATGGGTGGATCGACATTTGGACATGGTTGACTCATCAAAGTGGGTCATCCAGACCCACCCATTTGTCTCAGTGCTCATGAGTGGAGCGATACATATCAAACTGATTTAGTACATTTGTTTGAATATGAAAATTAATTCAGAAAACCTTTGAAAAACGTATTATTAATATTGACTACTCCATTGTGTATATTGTATTCGTTGATACAAACTTAATTTTGTTTGTTAGTAAGAAGAAAATTTCTACTGAAGTAAGTTTAAGATTTGACCCATGACCCACATAGGCTGATGATTTCATCAGACAGACAACATATCATGACGTGATGATGCAGGACCTTCCATTGACCATCGTGGGACTACCTTCTCCATGCTGGGTTCCGCAGCTGAAAAAATCATCATCAAAATTGTTCATATTAATTAGTAATAAGGTAAGGAAATGTTCGGCAATAAATTTGAACAATCGAGTTCCAGATGGTTCTAATTCATCTTTAATTACCGTACGTATTCGCTATATGTATTACCATACGTATTCACGCCGATTTCAATCATTATATTTTTTACACAATTACTGACAAATTCAATATAAGGAGGACTGAATACAGATACAAATTAATGATCATACATATATTAATTTTTAACTCAAATATAATAAATCGCAGGAGGCTTGGCCTTTAAAGCAGTTTGCGTGCCTGTAAGTTTTTTTGCCGCATTCAGTACAACTCTTTCATTTATTATGAAAACTTTCTGTAGCTTCCTCGAGATTCCATATTGTGTTTGATTGTTAACAAAAACAAAGGTGGAAAAAATAATGAAGAAAGGGCTTCTACATAATATTTATTGAAATAACTGGCACAAAACGAAGTTAAACCTATCGCCCACTGTCAGCCTGTCAGGCTAGTCTGGAAAAGTCCTATTTTTGTCTGAAATATCGCGGCTCTAATATCATATAATTTCAGTAGGTATGAAATCTCGCGGCTCGAATGTCATAAATTTTTGTTCGATTAAAAAATCGCGGTTTGCACTTCGCATGAAATGGAATCACGGCTGGCAAATCCATAAAACCACGGCTCGAAAAATTCAGTCACGGCTCGCCAAGTAGATATATTCCATACTAGCTGTCAGGTGTGACGTGTGAGGTGTCACCGTGCCAATGTGCCAGGATTCCAGGAGCCTCAGGAGAGGAGGTTAATAGGTATAATTAGGCAATTAATAGAGCCATGAAAAAATCCAAGCAACAGAAACAATTAAAGCAAATTGAGCAAATTAATTTTTTTGTTTGTTCTGGATGTAGGTAAGTAGCTACCTTGTGAGTTGTGGCTTGTACGTACCAAGTTTAGATTGACAACTGACAGAGCCACAGAGGACACAAAATCAAATGAACATCTACCGCCATAGCAATTTCTAATCTCCAAGCTTCCATCATCCATGACCATGTTTATGTAGGGGCAGTAGGGCTAGGGCGCTAGGCCTACTATAGTTAACAGAATTGAAACAGACATAAACATAGACAAATAAATCAGAGCTTAGAAGACTGCGAGTCTGCGACGACTAACATAATTATAAGCATACTCAGATAATTTACGTATAATAACGAATAAACGATTATTCACGAGTGACGACCGCGCCGGTCGTCTTTTGTAAACTTCAAGAGCGCTCAGCGATTCCATTTCACGCTTCGGTAGCGGTACGGCCGCCAAGCACTTAGCACCGACAGAGTCGCTGGAAGAGTGGAAGTGAATATTTAGATTAACTACTAGTGATAATATTCCGCTTGTAAATAAGATTTGGTCAATAAAAGCACGTATAAATCATTTAAGAATGAAAAAAGTTTCTTAATCAGTACTTTATCATTCCAAATTTTATAATTTCACTTACTTATTGCTTGAGAACCGAACTACACTAGCTGTAGACTTCAAGAAAAAGCATCGAGTTGGAGACTTGAGGGGTAATACCTTCAAGAGAAGTGTAATCTAGCGAAAAGTTCTAACAAAATATAAGCGAACGAGACTATAGAAGCGAAATAAACGTACATATTAGTGATATTACTAACCCACATAAATAATGTTTGGAAGGTTGAACTGAGCTATTTTCTTACCCTTGACCACAATGCAAATGGGCGAACTTAGAAATTTGTCCTGAACACTTGTCACAAACGTAGGCCCAGCAACGTTGATGTTTTTATTAATAATACGATGGTTTCCATTCGAAAATATATTTTAGTCGATTTCAACATAAACAATAACAGTAGAGGGTCGTTCCTAATTATCAGACTGAAATATTGGAATCTGACAAATTGTTTCTGAGTCAACTTTCGAATTATAGGTTTCAATATCAGTAAGTATCTAAATGTATCTTATTCATGAAAAGTATCTGCTTGCTATAGGGCATGTAAATTTCTCCTAATTTCGGGTCACGGCAGAAATAATATAAAGAGAGAGAGAGAGTTGCAATTAATCACTGATTAAATACTAGTAATCAAAACGCACCCAACTTTAAGTATGATTGCTATGATTACTATAACAGAAAAGGACTTCCGAATGTATACATGGATAAATGCATGTCCCTTAAACATCCTATTTTACCAGAGACGTTGTTGTTGTTGTTCATCAGGTCACAACAGTCACGCTGAAGGTGGAGGGAGGGGAGCGGGAGAGGGCGCAGGAGAGGGGACGATTACGAAAGGAGGGAGGCGAGAAGGCTGCAGTATTGGGGAGTTCTGTCCTACAAAGAGGAGATGGGAAAGTACGTAGAAATGACAGGCTCCAGATGAGGTGCTCCGTGGAGTGGATGGAATCCCCATGCACAGAGTAAGCAGTGCCTGGAGAGCACCCCATCCTGAAAATGAAGGATGCGAGATGGCTGCAAAAGCCTGACAGTAGCTGAGCCAGGACCGAGCAATAGGGGGAAGTGAGTAAGACTTGGAGATGTTAAGGCTGCTAGGACTGTGTGGTGTGGTGGTTTCCGCGATGTGGGAGGCGATCACGCTACGATGGGTCCGCCTGCATGGCTTCCCCATAGGAGCCCGGTGGCCAGAAGACTTAGATCAGTTGTGCGGTAATGAGAAAGGTACGGGTTTTGTACTTATTTCTATCCTCCACTCCACCGATTCTATTTGTTCTACATCTTTCAAATAAATATGGCTAATCTTCCTTCATTTCACCGGATCAATTATCATTTAATTTACCGGACACTGTTGTTAGTTGTTCAACCAAACTTGGTTAATCATATCGACTTCATCTAAACATTTTTAACTTGACCGAACTAAAACACTTACTTTCCGTCGCTCAACCAAACTGAGTTGTGACGCAGAGTCGCTTTTTGCTTTATTAACTTCGATATTTTTTCTGAATTAAAAAAAGGATATTGATGGCTACTCAGATAATTTACGTTTAATAACAATTATTCACGAGTGACGACCGCGCCGGTCGTCTTGTGTTAAACTTCAGGAGCGATTCCATTTCACACTGCGGTACGGCCGCCAAGCAAGTAGCACTGACCGATTCGCTGGAAGTGAATTTGTAGATTAACTTCTAGCGATAAAATTCCGCTTGTAAATAGGATTTGGTCAATGAAAGCACGTGTTGTTTGTAAGCTAATCGAATCTGTTGTGAGGGATAGGATTTTTGATCACTTGACTGTTCACCATCTCCTATCAGATTGTCAACATGATTTTATTGCCGGTAGATCCTGCACCACTAATTTATTGTCTACGTTGAACGATTGGACTCGCCTGATATTAGGCGAGAACAACATTCACCACGTGCATTTAGTAGTTTTCTCTACGTGCATTTAGTGTTTTTCACCACATGCATTTAGTGATTTTCCCCACATGCATTTAGTGATTTTCTCCACGTGCATTTAGTGATTTTTAACACGTGCATTTAGTGATTTTCACCACGTGCATTTAGTGACTTCATCCACGTGCATTTAGTGATTTTCTCCAGGCGCATTTAGCGATATTACAACGTGCTTACGGTGTTATCTTCACGTGCCTTTATGGCCATCTCCACGTGTCCACATCTCCAAGTGCCTACGTTTCCACGTACCTCCAGTAGCCTCTAAACGTGACGCCGACAACACCACGCACCACTCACTACACGTGTCTTCACGCAACCTCGAGATCTCGCCAAGCCAAGCTCCTCGTCTCCGCCACCGGCCTCATCTTCCAATTCCATCGGGATCATCACCTTCGAGCAGGTCAGTGAGCTTAAACCAAAATTAATTCATATTACCAATTGCTGTTGTGTTTATTTTAACCCGACCAATTTTATTTTGCCGTACCTCAAATTTATATCTAATTTTAGTGGAAAACTACTAGTTGCCTTGACCTTGAAATCCACTGATTCATTGGAGTTAAACGTAGTAAATGTGGGCCAAGTCCCCCACAACATCAGGCCTACTCTTCAGCGCCGACATCACTATGTTATGTTATGTTATGGCGATATTAATTGGGGAAAGTGAGGCTAAATTCTGGATGCGAGCAAAGTGCTTGCCTAAGCGAAATGCCAGTCTACATCTTGCTAGTTGCAAAGCTTTTGTTATCTCGCGGAGCCGCGGCGAGGAAAATTGGTTCGTGGCTGCACAACATGCATGGACCCTTGTTCAAAACTACCCTGTGGACTGCAACAGGAAACTTTGAATGTCGTTTAAGAAATAATAAATCAAACGATGAATATCAGTGCTTCTTTTTGGATAAATTTGAAAACTGTATTACAAGGTGTAAATACATTTTGCAGGCGGAAATATCCAGAAACCACAAAATTGTACAATGGATCAAAATCGTAAATGTCTCAGAGGGCAGGCGGCCTGAACAGTGTTTGTCAGCTATGGTTCAAGTTGGCACGATGAAGATGGAGGGCGGAGGCCCACGGCCTTCGCGCGGCCGCATTGGCTATGCTTACAACTACCAGATTGACTCGCTTGATTACACGGCACACGTACTAGCGTGATACCATTACCCTCTCAGAACTGGCATATATTGGTATCCATCACTCCACTCTGTATTGGTTTCTCTCTGGTGCCGTCTTTCCCCTAGCGTAGCATACACCTAGGCGTGATCTCCTCCTATGCGCGGTCTCCTCCTGGGCGTGGTCTCCTCCTATGCGCAGTCTCCTCCATAGCTCTGTCTCCTCCTGGGTGTGGTCTCACCCTCGACGTGTTTAGCTTCCTTCCGTGAACTCAACCCTAAGTCACATACATGATACCCCTTAAATTGAAACAGAAATATCGCCCATGTGTTGATCACATTGCACTATTCGCCGAGAGGACACATTGAGGTCTCATAAAGCATCTATTCAAGAACAAAACTCTGCAGCAACTGTGTCCCAACATCCTCGCACGAGGTTGCATGGGACAAGTTTTCAAGGCCTCCATAAAAGTAAAATAAAACAAGAAAGAAACCAGCATATTTGCCTCTATTACCAAGGACCTTAACAACTCAAGCGAAATTGCATACCTCTGCCAAACGGCTATCTCTCGTTCCGCTTGCGAGTCCAAAAATTAAATGGGGGCATTAGGTTGGTGATGCATGGCCTGCCGGCCACGAATCCATGTCGACAGTCTAACAAGAGGTGGTTAATAGTCAAATGATCAATCGCACTGTCCCTCACAATCGATTACATTATCTTTTTTTAATATCCAATGCACAATTAACATTTTGAATTAAATCACTTGAGTTTCATAAAATGGTAGCAAAGTCCATCGTTCTAGGGCTCATTGGAAACTGGTCGAAGGATGAGCCTACTGTGACATGAATACCACGCGTATTGAGTGCATTTTGGAGTACCTATACTTCTTAGTGAGGTCACTGTAACAAAAGTGCGTGTGCGTTAGCGTTAACCACAACCGGGGTAATTGTCATGGCTCAATTCTGCCAGCGTCGTTCAATTCTGGTCAATTCATATTGAATTTTGCATAATTATTGGAGATGCCGTATAAAAGCAGGTGTTGATAGGGGAGAACACATTTAGGTATATGCCATAGACACACAGACACAATTATAAACCCAAGTTTACTTCAAAAATTTGCTCGGTATTTGCCACACTGAAGCACTGAAGCTTTATCGAGGGCATTATATAAATAAGCAAAATTAGTAATAAGTAAAATTTTTTACATGCGGCTGGCTCCCTTAAAAAAGCGAATTGTTGTTTCAACGCTCTGAGAAGTTGAAAAATGTTAAGGAGCGTCTGCGTCAAAGTTACTGGAACGAATTCCTTCAGAATTTGAAAGAAATGGCTTCTTCAAAGCCGGGAGCTTGCGAGCCGAAGTCTCATTTAGAATTAAAAGTTAATGATTTAGTAGCCGTTAGAACTAAGCTTACGAAACCGTATTTTTACCCACAGGGATAATTTACCGGGGTAGAAAAGAAAGATTTGGGAGAAGTCGTAGCCGTGACAATTCGCAGAAGTAACGGCGAAAACATTCGTCGTCACGTCACATATGTTATATTTCTAGAACGCGGTTTGAAACCTGATCCTCAGGTTGTCGAGGGAATAACTCCCAATCGTGTACCGAGAGCTTCAACTCGCAAAGCTGCCAAAGTTTGTACCATGCGTAATGCAAACCTTGCTAGTAATAATTTGGCTAGAAATCTCTAGGAGCTTACGGCAGAGATTCCAGCGGCCGGGCCCAGTGTACAAAAATCTGGTGGAATTCAGTTTAAAATTTATTAGTCATAATAATCCGCTTTTCTGGCCGGTGTCAAGCCGAAACCGAAGAAGAATCATTGCAGCAAGAATATTCAGATTTCCTACACCACTGTAACCGCACGGCATCTGTTTCACTGGTGTTTTTCCTAGCAGTTCTCGGAAGGCATACCTGAAGCATCTTATCTCGGCCGCGGTCCTGCTCTCCTCTTGGTCTGACGTGGTGGCTCGACGAGAGCGTGGTTCCCTTACCTGGAGCTCCGACGTTCTCCTGCTCGACAGCGGTGGCAGGCTGGTGCTACTCTCCTTGAAGCTCCGGAGACGTCAGAGGTGGGCTTGATTCTTGGCCAGAACCTGCTTACCTCGCTCCTAGCTAATTTCTCAAAATTGGATGAACCTGTAAGACTGGATCGTTAATAAATTGTGAATTCCACCTGTTTTTGTTAATCACTGAGATTTATTATGCTGTCTACATTATTCAACCGATTTTTCAACTTTGGTTTTGTCTACCAACTGAGTTTGGAAACGTCGTGTGGTCACCGAAATTTGAAAAGGACAAAAATTTAGTAGAGTGTTCAAAGACGCGCAACAAGGATAGTTCCGGGCTTGAAAGGAAAGTCCTATGAGGAAAGATTGAAGATTATGAAGCTTCCAAGCCTCCGTTATCGACGTCTGCGTGGGGACCTCATTGAAGTATACAAGTATACTCATGGCTTATACAAGGTCCCAGAAGGATTACTAGAATTTGAAACAATAATGCCTAGCAAATTACGGAGCAGGCAATAAGTCCAGCAGCTATCTCAATCAATCGTCAGTTATGGAAAGATCGGGTTCCAAAGGCCGGATCCCTTGTGAATTAAGTCACGAAAAGTTCAAGAATCGGCAACAGACCATGGGCCTATTTCTTCAACGCCGACAATTCTATTCTATTCTATTCTACCTGCAGATTTGATGTTTGTGGCCAGCCATGGATAACCAAGCCAGCCGTGATTATATCCTGCGAACTTAAATAAATCTTGTTCAAGTTTCTATAGTAGCAAATCCTGCCTTATTTTCCTCAATCGTTGAATTAGTGGCGGTCAATTACTTAGAGCGGAAATTCACAGTCGTCTTCTTTAGATTCAATATTAATTATTTTTGTATATCTACAGTCTACATGGTCAACAAACACTAACAATATTTCTCATGTACCACACAAATTCGTAGTGGTTAATCAACGGTGACTTGACCTCGGTTAGTTGGATTCATGGTTGAGAAGTGACTTCACAGCAGAATGAGCAGAAGAGACCTAGACACGCAATGAGCGTGAATAGAAACGCATGATGCGCGGCAACGGACAAGCTAGCAAATAAGCAACCTACTGTCCTACTCGTATAAAAATTGTTATTACATTGAATTGATTGAAGTTGACAAATCATTCTACTTGTGAGGTGCAAAGTTTGGCACTTTTACGCAATTTGAACAATCTTCTGTTTCTTTTAACGATTTCTACGATTATTTAGTCCTCGCGTGTGATTTGTCCACCGATGTCCGATTATGTGACCGATAGCTAGTTGTGGTTTACTTAGTCTTGAGCGATGATTGGTCGGTTGGCCCCGTTGGGTCATCTCGGAAGTTGGGTGTGACTGTCACAGAAGTTGCCACTCACGACTCAGTCCTTTCTCCAGAGTCCAGAGTCCTGATTCTGCTTCTCAGTCCAGTAGCGTTTTCTAGACAGATATAATGCTGGTCAGAACAGAAATTTGTCTCTACTCTGTGTAATTTGATTACCACATTATATGAATATGATGAATTGATGATAACTGCAAAAATGTTTTTGGTCTTTCTCTAAATGTGTGGTTTTGTTTGGTTTATAATATAGATAGGCCTAGTTGCGATCAAAGAAATCTATCCACATTTTAAAGTGCTATGGAACTTGAGCCTAGTTGACTTGAGACTGTTGAGTGCTGACTGTGCTGTGGCAACTGGCATTGAGTGATTGACAATGACATTACTTGCTAGTTGGCAGTTCACGCAGTTGCGATTTGCGAAGTTCAAGTTGCCTGTTGCTATTAATCACTTACAAATTAGCTACAATGAAATGAATCATTGCCCTCAACTTCAAGCTTGAAGCCTCAAGGCTTCATCGGCTGATTAGCCTTGGCCTATTTATTTGGTACTTCAATTTTTTATTTTAATTACTTTGATAAATGATATGAATTTTTTTACTCAATTGATTTCACTAATATATAAATCCTTCTGAAATTTTTAACATCATATAGAATAATCATACTATTACCAATTAAATTAAAAATGCAAATTTCAAAGTATGTTTTACTTTCAGACTCAGTGATATTTTTTAGTTGATAGATTGTTACCCATTTTTATGTAGCCTCTGCCTATCCCTATTCTCAATCTCAGAGTCAGAAGTAGCAAGTAAGTAGGTAGCCTATGCCCTATGCTACCAGGCTACCAGCTACCTTACTACCTATATATAATATATATAATAAGAAGGGGAAATTTATTATGAGAAAATTGATTAGTATTAAGAAATAGCTGGTTTTTATTAGGCCTAGGCCATATGGAAAAAAAATGTTCTTCTATTTAATTGAGTACTTTTTTGAGCTAGCCTAATCCATCACAAAACAGATTGACCTTGGGGGCTTGGGCTTGAGACCATGTCTCACCTTGAACCTTGGATAGGAATAACTTCCTCAAAACATCTACGTAGTGGAAAAATAATAGGTATGCATGATTAAATCAAAAACTCCATAAATTTTAAACCTAAATATAAGAACTTTATCTTTTAAACCTCTAAAATATAAAGAAAAACCTAACCATAAAAGTTTTATCATTCTGCCATTTTACCAGGTTCTCATCTTCAGAATGAAGTTGGGCTAGTTTAGGAATGGGCCCATTCTCTGCAAAAGGCCTTTTTTCCTTCCTTTCCTTTATCAAAAAACGCTTTAAAGTTCTCTTTTGAATGGCATTGTTAAGCTTAAAATTTGTATGAGCCTTTAATTGCATCATCTTAAAATGATAAATAAAACAAATTGGTAATAAATTCTTGGTGAACCAGTCAGGGGATATGACTGACAATGGACGAAGAAGAGCAGAAGGAGCTCATTTTGAAAAATCTGGGAGAAGCAGTTAAAAAGGTACCTGTCATTCCAAACAAATTAACCTTATATTCAAACTTATTTTGTTTATATTCAATCAGGTACCTACTAAGCATCTTATTAGAGATTTTCATTATCATGGAGTATCCTGTTAGGTACTTCTTTATGTTACTTTTATTACATCTCAAAAATTATATTGTAATTTTTCAAGTAAACAGATTTAAAAATACTTTTCATTACCTTTTGATTTTTTATTTATTTTCATGACCTTTAGTGTTTAGTAGAAATTGTACTCTTCCAAACATTAAGTAAATTTATGTAATAATTAAAAATGTGAAAATTTGTTGAATGAAAATAGTTGCACATTTATTAGGTTTTTGTTATCAGTGCAATCATTAACTGCACTTTATCGGAATGCTCAAATAAGATTCTTATTATGAGAACTTGACATAAAACAATTCTGTGCAGGTCTACGGAGAATGGTGCAGTAGGTCAGAGCGAAGTGTTGGCAGGGATTGTGTGTCTGCCGTTGTGTCTGGCGTTGACAGTGCTCTGGCACATGGCCTGAGGCGACCTCTACAGGGTTACTGGCCGCTGCTAACTCCTCTGCTAGACCATGACACTCATGCTCTCCTACTGCAATATCCGTGCCCCCGCAGCCGAGGTGAGATTTTTTGTTTGCCTACTGTTAAAAATGAAATTGCATGGGTTATCAACACAAGCTTTCATCTATGTAAATAAAATCTTGACAACCACTCCCTATGCTAGTGTGTTTATTTATAGTCTTTGTGTACATAATAAGTTCAGGATAGGAACTTGCAAACTATAATAATAATTCAGTATAAACAAATGAGATAAAATTCCATGTGAGGATATTTTTTGAAGGATTATTGTTAGTTTATTTTGTTTATATTCCTGATATTGAATGTTTGCCACAGCAAATTTTTGGCTTCTGTTTGGAGATGTGAGACACTCCATAAAAATGTTACTTTCTGATTGCTATGGAAAAATTTAATTAATTTAGTTTTTGAAAAATTTTTAGATTCTAGTTGTACATGTCCATAGGTTGTAAGAAGAAATAAGATCTTAGGTGTCAATTGGAATGCAATTTTAGCATCATAGTTTCTTTAAGTGTCTTCTGATTAGATTAAATATTTATGGTACCTATTTCATTCAGGCTGGCAGTGGGTGTTGCGTTGTCTGTCTAGAGGAGAGTTAGAAAGTTTGATCAGCGTCGTGTTGAGTCATGCCCACCTACTGCCTCCTTTGTATTGTGGACATGCCCTCCTGCGCGACCCCAGTGCCCAGCTGGTGCTGCCCACGCTGCTGGCCGGCCTAGAGCACGTCAGGCTCAATAAGGTGACTGGGCAAAACTGGGGCTTCTGGTTGAATAAAATTCAATTATTTATTCCAAAATTAGTTGCCAGGCGGGTGATGGATGGTGCTAGAGGTGGCTGATGGATGGTGCTAGAGGTGGCTGATGGATGGTGCTAGAGAGGCCTTCTAATGATGGATACGGTACTATTTATAATTTGATATATGCCAAGAAAAAATTTAAAGAAGCAATACCAAAAGAAGTGTGCTCACAATAGATCAAATTGTACCAATAAAAAGCGGTTTTAATTTATTTTACTGATATGGAAGTGACGCATCAATTGAAAGAAACAACTAATGAAATTATAATAATAATAATAAGGTAGAAACGAGAATAAAGCTTACTAATGCACTCTATGTATGTGCTGTTTTTGCTGTAGGGCACGGAAGAAGAGCTGGAAAAAGTGGTGGAGGAGGTGGAGGATATCGCCCCCAGCGCCGTGGTGAGACAGAAGCCTTCTGAGGGCACGTCTGCCTTGCGCTCCCTGCGGTCCCTGCGTACGTCCCTGCTCAGCGGCCGCGCCGCCAAGTCCAAGCCTGCCAAGGAGAGGAAGACTGAGCCGCCAGACTCCCAGCACGACGAACGCGTCTCGCCTCACTTTGATCTCAATGCTCCTCAGGCGCAGTTCCCTTCACTTGAGGTTAGTTCTTTCGATTGATTAATTCAATTTTGTATCAAAGCAATAACACGATTAATTAATTCAATTTTTTATCAAAGCAATAAGAAAAGATAAGTGAAAGCAATAAGAAAAGATAAATGAAAGCAATAACAAGATGAAGCAATGAGAGTTGTGAGTTTCCTGGAATGAAGTTAAGGTGTCTCTTACACAATGAAATTTATTAGATTTTCTGCGATTATTAAGATTATTAGATTAGATTTTCAATCATTATAAAGATTATTAGATTTTCAGTCATTATTAAAATTATTTTATTGGATTTTCTGCGATTATTAAGATTATTTTATTGGATTTTCAACCATTCTTAAGATTATTTATTAGATTTTCAGCCATTCTTAAGATTATTTTATTAGATTTTCAGCCATTCTTAAGATTATTTATCAGATTTTCAGCCATTATTAAAATTATTTTATTGGAATTTCTGCGATTATTAAGATTATTTATTAGATTATCTGCCATTAATGAGCCTATTATGTTAGATTATTAGCATTGAAGTCGAGTAGCAGAGTTCGCACACAGTCGCGCTTCACAAGACAAACTCCATGCTCTCCCCAGGCGGGTATGAGCGGCGGGGTGTCGGTGGGTAGCGGCGGGGTGTCGGTGTTCCCGCCCCCGCGTGTCACGGGGCCAGCAGCCCTGGAGCCGCCCTTCACCTCCTTGGTGCTCTCCCTGGAGCAGCTCCACGAGCCTCCCATAGACGTGTGTAGGGAGGCTACCGAGGATCTCAATGAGCAGGTAGCCTTCCTAAGGTTCATCTTAGTTATTGTAATTCTGCTGTAATGATCTACTGCAATTCGTTGTTAGTTCTAATTCTATTTTATTGTTCTACTGTAATGTTGTATAAATTCTAATTCTATTTCACTGTTTTGCTGGAATGTCATTCTAATTCTATTTTACTGTTTGACTGGAATGTCATTTTAATTCTATTTTAGTGTTGTATTGGGACGTCATTCTAATTCTAATTAAACTTTAGTGTTATACTGCAATAATAGTTCTTATTTTAATTTTATTTTAGTGTTGTAGTTGAATGCAGCAGGTTCCTTCGAAATAACTTTTCGACGTTGTTTCTACTGTAGTCAAGCGTTTGATGCAATAATGACGACATATTCCTTAATTGTCAATTTGTCACCCCACTGGCCAGGTTCTTATTTGTTAATGAAGCGTTCACTTGAATGGTGTATTTGTGTAATAATTTTAGATGTTGATTGTCTTTCCCTGAATTTATTAAAAGGTTTGCTTAATTCTTTGCTTTAAGCTTGACTTTCATACTTACTGTGATATATATACTTTTTTTTGCATGGATATTAGTGCAATGCTTTCCCAGTTGTATTGAATTTAAAGCGTCTTCTCGACTCAGCCTTACGTGAAACCAATCCTACTATTTTACGTTTGCAATACTAAGTTTTTTTTTATATATTTTGATATACTTTATTTTATTCATTTGTTCATGGGGCTTATTTTACTTGAACATATTTATTTGATTCTACATATTTGTATAATTTTATTTAATGTTTGATAATTTGCGACAAAAACGGTTTGCTTGAATTTTGCTATTTCAAGTTTTCAGTTCGTTCAGCTGTCAAGCGATGAGCCTCACCCAAAGCTAGACTTGCTTTACTAGGATCATTAAATGCGACCAAATAATTGGGAATATAATTTACCATCTAAAATTTTCACTAATTTTTCTCGCGAAAGATGGTGATGAATTTTGATAAAAAATGAGAATTGAAGAATAAATGTTAGACACAAATTCGCTGTAAATGTGAATATTTTCAATCCGGTTTCAATGAACTTGTGTTGTCATTATTTTAGGAATTCAGGAATATTTTTCACCCGAATTAGAATTACTTTTTTCGATACATATTCAGAATTGCATATCTTAACCTTATCAGAAAATTTAGTGATGTAGCAAATCCAAATTGTTATATGAATTCAAACGTCCCAGTTCTTATGAAGTACATTTGCCGTAGACTCGTGTGCATACGAGGCCGTACTATCAAAAATAGTTACGAGTTCGTAAATCCGCCAGCCAATTACAGACGGCGCTTCAAGCTTAACTTACCAATCACATACAAGAAATTCGCCGCTACGTGCACTTAGACCGCTACCTGTACTGGAGAGAGTTTAGAAAGTAAGGCCCCAGATCGACATCGCGTATTATTTAGCAGTTGACGCCACTTTTTTACGATCGGGAAATTGATCTTAGTAATTATTTATTACGATCGTTATTAACTAATAATGATAATTGATCGTTATTATTGATTCGCACTAAAGTAACAGTAACGTATTTATACTTCACAGTGTTTGGTGACTCCAACCAGACTTTTCAGGTACCAAAAAATGGTTCATATTTTAAACTCATTCGCGGTCAAGTCATAATGCTTGTTTTTTAATGCGCCTCGAAGTGGAACGGTAGTTAGTAATTATATTTCAATTCCGCAGGTGTTCGAGGAAGATGATGAGGCTGAGATGACTGTTGAGGTTCATCACTTTGGCAAGGTGATTGGGATTTCTCTTTTTCTTTAGTTTTTTTTTGTTGTTTTCGCTTGAATGACCTCGTTTGACATTATTGTTTTTATTTCCGAGTGTGTGGAATCCTTTAATTACTTGTCTCTAGTTTATACATCCTGCACGGTTAATTTGATTTGTTCACGTTACGTTACTTGCATATTAAATCAGTGGTTAATCAGGGTATGTTTAATCAGAATTAAGGCAGAAAAAGCAATCAGAAGGTGATGCAAGAAATGTTTGGACATAGAACCATCCTGTGTTTCTGTGCTATTGAATGGCATGCTAGGCATCGTGGAGTTAATATTGTTGTGAGCCCACGAGTGTTGAGAAAATACTGGTCTAAGTAATATTTTATTGAGCGTTTGTGTCCGTGTTCGTTGCTCTGCATGTGTCCGTAGCTTTGCCCGTGTTTTCGTTGCTCTGCCCGTGTTCGTTGCTCTGCCCGTGTTCGTTGCTCTGCCCGTGTTCGTTGCTCTGCCCGTGTTCGTTGCTCTGCCCGTGTTCGTTGCTCAGCCACTGCTCTGTCTCTGACCGTGTTCGTAGCTCTGCCACTGCTCTGTCTCTGACCGTGTTCGTTTCTCTGCCACTGCTCTGTCTCTGACCGTGTTCGTTGCTCAGTCATTGCTCTGTCTCTGCTGACCGTGTTCGTTGCTCTGCCACTGTTCTGTCTCTGACCGTGTTCTTTGCTCTGCCACTGTTCTGTCTCTGACCGTGTTCTTTGCTCTGTCTCTGAACATGTTCGTTGCTCTGCCACTGCTTTGTCTCTGACCTTATTCGTTGCTCTGTCATTGCTTTGTCTCTGAACGTGTTCGTAGCTCTGCCCCTGCTGTCTCTGTACGTGTTCATTGCTCTCACTGCTCTGTCTCTGAACGTGTTCGTCACTCAGCCACTCACTGCTCTTGTTTGCAGCAGCGCAAGAAGGCCGAGCGTCATCACGGGTCTCGCGGCGCCTCGCGCGTCGAGGCGCGTGCGTCGTCAGGCGCGATGAAGGACGAGGCCGAGGCGCAGGAGATGAGCCTCGAGGAGGAGCTCAAGGCGGCCACGCAAGGAGGCTTCGTCGAGAACAGACCTCCGACCAACCTGCTCGGGGGTAAAGGTATTGCATATCCTAAGCTGAATTGTCAACAGATAGTAGTTTAGATAGATAGAAGTAGACAGTAGATAGATAGATTCTCAACATCTCTTATCCTACGAAGATGTGAGATTTCCATTCACTTGTAATTTTCTCGAAAAATAACCTTAAGTGTCGCTAGGATTAACGAGGAACAGCGCTTCAATGTTTATTTGGCGTGTGACGCAGTCCTTTGTTCCTTATAACTACACTGCCATATATCACCATAACTGTGCTGCCATGTACCACCATAACTACGCTGCCTTGTATCACCATAACTACGCTGCCATGTCTACCCTTTATGATCACAACGGTCACGTATCACCACAACAATCATGTATCACCACAACTATCATGTATCACCACAACTATCACACATCACCACAACTGTCGTGTATCACTGCAAGTGCCACACATCACCACAACCATCATGTACATACGTATCACCACGATTGTCTGGTAGGTGATGACCTGATCATGGGTATCGTGGGCGACGATAAGCTGGTCAAGGTGCTGCCTGACCCTGCCTGTGGCCACGTCAACGGCCGCCACCCTGGCGAGTGTGACGAGTATTCTGCCGACGAGCTCGACGTGGAGATCGTCGAAGCGTTCCCTTGTTCGTCGGCACGAGGCATCGCCCCTTCGTCATCGCCGGGCAGAGAACACTCACGTCCCAGCAGCAAGAAAAGTGCAGCTATTTCGGCCGACGAAGGCTCATGCAGCAAGAAAAACATAAAACCTTCTCATGATGGTGGCTCTAGCAAGACAAGAAAGGAAAAGGATTCTTCCAAGTGAGTTTCAAGGTTACAAGAGGAAGACTGAGGATTGAACTATAGATAGAACTAAATTCTATTAAGACGACTTGGAATGGCACAGATTGATTTTTAAGCTGTAAAAAATTAGTCTCCTCTTAATTGTTTTTTTTTTAAGCTTTCTTGATGGAATTCTCATCTATTGCTGTACATTCCTAGCCTTTGTCATTACAGAATTTTCCCTGCATTTGTCCATCTTAGCATTCAAGTAGACAAACATGCGTACGTATATATGACAGCCCTGCATAACTCTGTCTTCTAAAATGTATAACATAAATATTATTATTTGCAGATACTTCAGAATTGTATTGGTCTGATTGATTGGTTGATTAACCAATTTGGGCGTGCATTATAACTGTGTGGCAATCGTTTCCTGAAATTCGTCCCGTTGAATTCTCGCATCATCTCTCATGCACCTGTAACATTACAGGCATTAGTCTTAGATTCATTCAAAAGTAAAGTGATAACAAGCTAATCTTTTTAGAGCCGTACTATTAAAAATAGTCACGAGTTCGTAATTTTCTCAGCCAATAACTGACGGCTATTCAAGCTAGACCCACCAATCACAGACGAGAAATCGACCGCTACGAGTAGTCAGTACTTAAGCCATTACGTGCACTTAGGCCGCTACGTGTATATGGGGTATGCATATACGCTCTTGCTGGAGCTGTATATGGTTTGTTTATAATAATACGTTTATGTTCAGGTCATCAGGTCGCGTGAGTCAGCAACAACAGCTCATAGAGGCCAAGCATTTGCTCAAGAGCCTCACGAAGGCGGGAGTGATCGACGTTACACCTGAGCTGAACAAGCTCCTCGATTCTCTCGAGCAGGTCAATATTAATTATTATACTGACCTCTTCATCGTCTTATTTGGTTGCTCTGCTGACAATTTCTAGTGACGATTATTCATACTGTGAGAAGATGTTCATACTGTGAGAAGATGTTCAAATGCTTCTGCATATGTAATTTTATTTGGTTTAGCGTTTGAATGACTAATCTTTCCAGAATGAATTAATTATATTAAATCCATCCACTCGTCCATTTTAAATTATTTTAGTGGGTCAATTATGTACAGTTTCTTGAGTGAGGCTCATCTGAATTGCATCATAGTTACACTAGACAAAGTTGCCTGCAAAATTTCTTGCCGTCCTTATCGTTAAATCCCCCTTTTCTATTCATATGAGCAAACGCCAACCTTTATTAAAAATAAAATGGTAGTAGTTGATATTTTAAATTAAATGTATGTATCGGTATATGGTTTTGTGCAGCGCGAGGCATTGCTGAGTGAGCGGTCGCCTCCCGAAGGGCAGGAAGACCCGGCAGTCACCAGTAGTGCGTCAAGCCTCAAGAAACCTGCATCTACGAAGCCTAAACCTTCTCCTGCAAAAACGGACTTTAAAGACGAGACTTCGAGGCCTGAAGATGTCGAGTTCATCACAGAAAGCAAGCTTGATGGCTACGTGTCCACAAGTTCAGGATCTATGAAGAAAAACTCCAGCACTTTGGTTGAAACCTCGATTGGTGACGACGCGACTGATGAAGAACGAGCGACATCTGCAGAGGTGCTGGAGGAGGCTGATGAGGGCGAGAGTTCTCACGTACCGCTGGACTCTTCTCAGTGTGAGGACAGTCTCAGTGATGAGTTGGTCATGAGTGATGAAGAGGTAGGCGGTGGTGACGGTAGCATCACAGATACTGATGATAATGAAGAGGTGAGTCAGCTCACCACGGACGCTGACCCTAGTGAGAGCAGGCTGGGCAGTTGCAGCGTTAGCAGCGGCAGCAGCGGCACTGACTTGGGTGATTTAGCATTGCGTGCTGGTTTGCTGTGCGCTAGCAACGATGATCTGCATGTTATTGGAGGAGCCTTGTTGCGATCATCTGGAGTTGGTCTGGACACAGACGACACTAGCGATGGATTGCTGAGCGATGGCGAGAGCAGCACAGGAGCTGAGCAAGAGAGCGGAGCGGAAAGTTTACCCGGCATTGTTTTGTCGTCCTACCAGCGCCATCCTTTGCCCCTTGATGAGAGCTTCTGCAGCCTCGGAGACGAGAACCTGGAAGAAGAGGCGCTCACTGAAGGCTGCAGAGGCAAGACGGGTATTGTTGGAGGGGCTGTGTGGGATCAACTCATGGGAGGCCTCCCTGAAGCTGTCATCAGCCAGGACCTTAAGAAGGAAAAGAATCTTAAGGGAAAACCTGCTCATTTAGAAGAAACTGTGGAAGCTCTTATAAATCAAACAGACGGAACACTAATAAATTTCAATCAAACAGACGGAACGCCTGTGAAATCAATTGTACATAGTGAAGTGCCTGATACTGTTGGCCTTGAGAAATCGGAGAGCACCAATACCGTAGAGCTGGGAAACTTCGTGTCTGAAGGCGTAGTATCAGTCACAAATGTGTCAAACGTTGCAACCTCCCAGAAATATGTACGAGATGGCAGTGAAGGCGTGATGACGCAATCGGCACATTCAGCGCTCTCAGAAGCTCCTGGCTCAGACAAAGTTGGTGTCGTTGGTGCGACTATGAGCCGCACGCTGAGCCTGAGCTCATGCGGCAGCAGGTCGGGCGGGTTGGATGGCAGTCGCATGGACGCGCGCTCCGATGGAAAGCTTAGCTCTATCCTGGACTCGAAGATAGATTGCAAGTTGGATAGCACATCTGAGAGCGTCGTAGCTGCTTTAGATGACGCAGCTCGGGAAGCACAGCTCCAGCTCCTCAACTTGCATACCCAGCTGCAGCATTATCGGAAGATGGCGCTACGTCGGAAAACGCGCAAACTCTTGGACTCTAAACTTAATCCTATTTTGAAGAGCTCTATGTTGGAATTTAGCATAGCGCTTACTCTTCCAAAGGCTCTTCCGGTTATGGTGTATCCTCTGAAACATTCGGATGCTCCTGTGCATGACTGCCCTGACTGCGTGGTGCAGCAACAGTGGGAGGATAGTAGTGGGGATTTTATCAGTCTTTCATCCATTACCGTCATTCCTAACGAAGCTACACAGAACGTGTTGAGCTCGACTGTATTCCGACGGCCAGGTGAACGTCTTTATAAGATCTTCATCATGCGTGCTGGACATGCTGCTGGCTTCGCGAACACAGTGCGTGTTGTGCTGTCGAGCCACGCACTCTACGTCATGACCACGTGCCCCGCACCCTCTCTACTGCACGCACTGCCCTACACGCAAGTGCACTCGCTGGTGTTGGGAGCATACAGGGAGTGGGTGGTGGTGCTCAGCAGGGCGGCTGTGGAGTGGGGAAGTGTCGAGGAGAAAACCAGTGTCGGAGGCTGCAATGTTGTGGGCGTGCAGCTTTGTGCCGCTGATCCTTCCCTAGCACTGGACTTCGTTGCAAGTTTTGAGCTTCAAACTCGACGAGCTTTAATGGCCTTACAAGCCAATGAGATAAAATTTTCTAACGAAGGAAAGTTCTTGCCGATAGCAGGACTTGATGACGGCCGTGACTTAGAAAAGTTGGCGTCACGACCCGTGGAAAGTCGTCGTCTCTCCGGTGATGTACAAACCGATCCTCAAGGTCGCGCATACGACACCCGTTCTTTCGGTAGTAAAGCCAGCACGCCACAGGAGTGGTGGCGACCTCCCGTCTGGCGACATGGCGTAGGAGGCCAAAGCGATGACTTCTTGTCAATGTCCGGCAGAATTGAGCGCCAGGTGCCGGCGGTGGTGGACGCTCGGGAGTGGGAACCTATGGTGCTCAGTCAGTGGCTACAGATGCTCCTGCCCACTGAGGTAAGTGTACGTTCTGCCTAACATGCCACTTCCTATTAATGTAAAAGTTTTTATCAAATTTACCGTCAATTAGTCCATATTTTTTCCCCGATTGCCTAACGGCTAAATCATTATGTATATGATTTCATTTATATTTTTAAATATTAAGACGCATAACTTTTTGGCGAGTTTTTTTCTACTACACAAGTTTTCTTATACTACACTTTTTTTGCTATTTTTTACTACACGAGTTTTCATATGCTGCAGTTTTTACTAACGAGTTTATTACAGGCAAGCACCCGGGTAGTGGGGAGCTGGATGGTTGACTGGGATGGTGGGATGCGGCTGGGCCAGAAGGGAGCTCTGGGCCCCACTATGGAAGGACCTCTCATGTTCCGAACTGCCAAGCTCTTCTCTCAGTGGCGCAACGCTCACTTCCTCCTCAAGTAGGAGGCCTTTTTTGACTTGTGCTCTTAGTTATTGTAGGTTAGTCTGTTTTCAGTGACCGAAAAAGTTTTTAAAATATCCGAGCAAGTAACAGGTGTCCTAATCACCCACTCGGTGTCAAACTAACTATACGTCAAGTAAATATATTCAAATATTTTTATTGCTTTTAAATCGTTAAAGCAACTAAATATAAATTTAACTCCATTGTTTTTATATCTTGAATTTACTTAATTCAGTTTTTCGCGTGCAGAGCCGGAGTTCTGTACCAGTTTTGGTGCTCGGGAGATCGCTTGCCGCACACCATGCTGGACGTGACGAGCTGCAGCGCCTGCACCCCCACCACCCAACATAACAAGCCTCATGCGTTCCAGGTACAGCCTGTACCCAACATAACAAGCCTCACGCGTTCCAGGTACAGCCTGTACCCAACATAACAAGCATGTACCCAACACTGTTGGGTACAGCATGTACCCAACACTATGCACGAGTGCAGTTTCGTTTTCCGGCTCGGTTTTTTTCGACCGGTTTTTAGTCTTCGTTCGACCAAGATTCCACGGATTTTTTAAGTAATCGTCTCGACGTTCCACATCAGGTCTTCTAGCTGCTTTTTAGAGGTCTGACACTGCAATTTTACAATCTGTAACGTGAGTTGAATCGGGCTGATATCCATGACACCATTAGCCTACTCGACAATGCAGCTGCTTGGCCTGCGGCCAGCCGCTGCAACCCTCGATCCATCCGTCCGTCAACGAGTCGATTTGCTCGTTCCTACCCCCGCCCCTCGTCTGTCTTATCGCGGATGCCGTTCCGGTCGTAACAGGCGTACTGCCGCCATGTATCGGGTTGCGTGCAACGGTGGTGCGTCTGTGATAATTGGCAATCGGCCGTTGCCACGACGGCAGCCATCTGTGCTAGACTGTGCGTCGGCTGATCCTTCTGCTGCTGAACGTGGACCTGTGTCGGCTCGCAGGCCTCATAACCTGCGCAGCGTCCATGTCGATCGTCACTCCGCGCAGTCGTGTCGCCGGTTAATGTTCGGCAGCCTAAACCTCCGCTCGCTGAACAACAAAGTTGACGAGTTCCTTCGCATCCGCTGCTCGCACTCTTTGGATGTCGTCTTCTTGACCGAGACCTGGCATCAGTGTGGAATTCTAGAGGGATATTAAATTAACCAGTACACATAGCATATTGGAAAGCAGGACCTGAAAGGTTGGAAAGTCCAGGAACTTTCCACTTCCAGTCCATTTTATTATATACATTATACATATCCTATCACTTTTCAACTGTGATTGGTTTATGGGATTGTGATTTTAGCCCCTTCCAGCTTTCCAGCTGTGATTGGTTAATGAAGTTGTAATGTTATCTGCTTTCTAGCTGTGATTTGTTGCTGGGGATGCTTTCAAGCTGTGATTGGTTGATGGGGATGCTTTCCAGCTATGATTGGTTGTGCCCATAAGCCCCGCCCCCAAATATGGTATATATACTACAGTACTGGTTAACTAAATACTTAACTTAAACTCGATCATTACAAACAAAAAGCCTGGAAAAATTTCAAAAATCCATTAAATAAAAGAAAAATAGAGAATATCCATCAAACAAGAGACATTCAAAGAATTTTTTAACAAATCTGAGGTACTATACAACTGAAACAGTTTGTCCACTTTTGATCCTCCTTTTCATTTATAGTCAGTCACCTGGCAGAGCACTGTATCTAAGGAAAGCATTCCACCTTGGGTGGAAAGCTTTTTTAGAAGTGAACCTCCATTTCTAGAATTCCACCCTGCCTGGCATGATGCTGACTCGGTTTCCATCGCGCGTCTTCGGGCTGAAGGACTCCAAGTGGTCGAGCGTGCACGGCCTCGCGCGCAGTTCAACACCCTAGTGACGAATCACTGCGGTCTAGCGACTGTCGCCTGCGGCGTGAATCTGACCAGGCTCGACATCGGCGCCCGACCCACCACCTTTGAGCTGTTGTGTGTCACGGTCGCTTGCGGCTCGTTCGCGTGTGTTGCTGTCGTCATCTATCGTCCCGGATCAGTTGCTGTCGCACGTGATTTTTTTGTTGAATTAAGCTATGTTTTAACTAGACTTGTGACCCTCACCGATCACGTTTTTATCACTGGTGATTTTAATGTTCGACTGGATCGTGCCGACGACCAATGGGCGCGTCAGCTGAACGATCTACTGTCTGCCTTCGGCATGGTCTGTCACGTTACCTTACCAACCCATGACCTCGGCGGGTTGCTGGATGTTGTCATCACGCGTACCGACATTCACTTTCTGCCCGTTGACATCATCGATACTGCAATATCTGACCACCGACTACTCCAGTGGATGGTGCCATGCGTTCGCCCGGCGTTGATGTACAGAGCCGTCACCTGTCACCCGTGGCGCGATCTCGACGGCGATGTTTTGAGCAGGAGACTTCAGTCGTCCCGACTTGGTCGGTCGGAGTTGTCGGTGGACGATCTTGCAAAACTCTACGATATCGAATTGACATCTTTGCTCGACGACCTCATTCCTGCACGAACTGTTCGTGTCCCCCAGCGAGCCTCCGACCCGTGGTTTGACGACGAATGTCGCGCCTCGAAGCGTGGTGTTCGGCTGCTCCAGCNCGTTCCAGGTACAGCCTGTACCCAACATAACAAGCCTCACGCGTTCCAGGTACAGCCTGTACCCAACATAACAAGCCTCACGCGTTCCAGGTACAGCCTGTACCCAACATAACAAGCCTCACGCGTTCCAGGTACAGCCTGTACCCAACATAACAAGCCTCACGCGTTCCAGGTACAGCCTGTACCCAACATAACAAGCCTCACGCGTTCCAGGTACAGCCTGTACCCAACATAACAAGCCTCACGCGTTCCAGGTACAGCCTGTACCCAACATAACAAGCCTCACGCGTTCCAGGTACAGCCTGTACCCAACATAACAAGCCTCACGCGTTCCAGGTACAGCCTGTACCCAACATAACAAGCCTCACGCGTTCCAGGTACAGCCTGTACCCAACATAACAAGCCTCACGCGTTCCAGGTACAGCCTGTACCCAACATAACAAGCCTCACGCGTTCCAGGTACAGCCTGTACCCAACATAACAAGCCTCACGCGTTCCAGGTACAGCCTGTACCCAACATAACAAGCCTCACGCGTTCCAGGTACAGCCTGTACCCAACATAACAAGCCTCATGCGTTCCAGGCCGGCCTATACCCAATACAACAAGCCTCACGCGTTACGAGCAGCGCCCCCAAAAATTACCAAGCTACTGTTCCGTAGAGAGCTTGTTTACTTTGAAGATGACTCCCGCTACACCGAACCCAACTGGCCTACTCTAATATTTTGGCACTGTTCTCTCATTTGCTATTTTACTTCTTCACAATCACAGTGCTTTCTCTCTCCCTTATTATTGTCTGTCATATTAGGCGGTTCTCTCTCAATCATACTCTTACCTAATACAGTTCTCTCTTTCTTGCGCAGGTGATCCAGAGTGACGGTTCCCCGCTGCTGCTGGCCGCTTCTGACGCCGACCAAGCCGCTCGCTGGACTAGCGCCCTCAGCGCCGTGCTCTGCAATGCTGTCAGTCATTTGCTATATCTCATGTCATACTTGATATGTTTTTTAGAAATTATTCTCTCGTCTGAAACTTCTTAGTTATATGTTCTATTCTAGAAATTATGCGATTTTTTTATATCAATCGGCGCCTCGGTTCCAATTTTATGCTTTGCAGCTTTTGACGGTGTGATTATTTGTACGTAAGCTTAATTTATTAGTAACAATGCCTTTATTTCTTGGTCTTGTTCATTCAACTCATCTCACTGACAACGCATACATCCATGTAACGGCCACGACTATAGATGATGAATTTATGTGTTATTTGCTTGCACAGGCTGGTCGCATGAGCACGCGACGTCCTCTGCCGTGCCGTCTGCTGCTTCTGCCTGGCAGTCTCGTGCTGTTGCACCAAAGTGACTTGTTGCTCGCAGTCCCACACGGCACACCACCCCCGCCTCACCCCACACCCTCAGCAGCCTCCTCTGCCTACATGCCCTCCACTGTAGCCCCGGTAGACGCGCGACGTGACAGCCGGAGTTCAGGCGCTGCGCTTCCCACCGCCGTGGGCACCTTAAGACATTCAAGGCACTTGAGTTCGTCTTTATCTTCACTCAACTCCAACAGTTCAGCTGCGCCTAACAAACAAAACCTTAAAGTCAATTCCCCGCTGTCACCTGCTGGAACTACGGCTGCTGGGAACGGGATCGGGTCAGCAGTTACCAGCACTCCAAACCCACCGCGCTCTCTGGCGCTGAGCGCAGCAGGGCAGCAGCTGCCAGGGTACCAACCTGCGGTGGAGGGGCTGGCACAGTGCGCCCCCAGAGTTCCGCTCAATCGAGGCGCTGAGGCTCGTCTCGTCGCTCGTCTTGACTTACGTTCGCTGGCCAGCATCGGCCGCTACAACGAGTGTGGCAACACCACTGTACTGGTGAGACTTGTGAGACTGGTGAGACTGGTGCACCACTGTACTTGTGATACTGATGCTCCACTGTACTGGTGAGACTGGTGCACCACTGTACTGGTGAGACTGGTGCACCACTGTACTGGTGATACTGGTGCACCACTGTCCTGGTGAGACTTGTGAGACTGGTGTACCACTGTACTGGTGAGACTGGTTCACCACTGTACTGGTGATACTGGTGCACCACTGTCCTGGTGAGACTTGTGAGACGTGTACCACTGTACTGGTGAGACTGGTGCACCACTGTACTGGTGAGACTGATGCAGTAACACTACGATGAACAGACTGACGATGTGCACCAGTATAGAAATTTGAAAACTTTAGTTCAAATTATCAATTTTAATACTTTTTCACTAGGGCTTTCATGCAAGGAAAAATGCATTCATCCATCTCAAATATTGAATATTTTGAGAAGTTCAAAGATAAATAATAACCTAATTTGCACATTAGGATAGAGCGGTTTAAGATGGCAAACGGTCATCTCATGGTAATTTTTCATTTGTCTTATATAGCTTTTTAGATAGGAGCTCTCATATCTCATTAGGTTTCCTTTATCTTACTAATTCGTTGTCTGAGGAGAAATATTGAATGGACTGAGTTCCACCACAACACCGCTATTGCCTGAGGCTAAGCCATATGTTTTGAATAAAACTTTTCCTGAATTGAACGTTCAGTGTAATAATTAGCAATATTATCTTTTTTAATCGTGAAATTATTGTTATTTACCTCCATAATTGTGAGCTTCATTGATATTTTAATAACTATACATGCGAACCTGTCCCTAGGAGGTGCACTCGGCGTTCAATGCAGCTTGGCGCCCCGATGAGCTGAAGACGCCGCTCCTCGAGTCAGGAGGCGGGACGTCGGGTGACTGGGCGCTCTACTTTAGGGGCTCGAAGCAGCTCGAGAACTTCCTGACTGTGCTCGCCAGCCAGGTCTGGGGATAGTGCGATGCATTTCCTTCACCTACTCATTTCCCTTCACCTACTCATTTACCTTCATCAATTAATTTCCCTTCACCAACTCATTTGCCTGCTCAAACTCATTCACCTTTGCCAACTCATTTACCTTCGCCAACTCAATTACCTTCACCAACTCATTAACCTTCGCAAACTTGTTTACCTTCGCCAACTCATTTACCTTCGTCCACTCATTTACCTTCGCCAACTCATTTACCTTCGCCAACTCATTTACCTTCGCCAACTCATTTACCTTCGCCAACTCATTTACCTTCGCCAACTCATTTACCTTCACCGACTCATTTACCTTCACCGACTCATTTACCTTCACCAACTCATTTACCTTCACCAACTCATTTACCTTCGCAAACTCATTTACTTTCAACTCAATTCACCAACTCATTCAGCTTCACCACCTTATTTCCCTTTACTTAACTCGTCTGTAAGTGTCCTGACTGTACTACACGACCAGGTGCATTGCGCTGCACACTCCTTCACTTAACTTTTTGTTCTCCTATGGTAACTATTAATTAATCAAGCCTTTAGAAATGAAAAGATTTGAGGTAAAATGCTCGAGGATAAGTAGACAAAGGTTTGACTTCTGACGTATACATGATTTACCAAGCCTTTAGATGAGAAAAACATTCACAACGGTTGATGTATTTGTCGACAAATGATAAACTTGCTGCAATGAACAAATTTTGTTCATGACTACTAAATTTTCAAGTGCGAATACTATTCATGTTTTCTCGAATCAGACACATTATTATTATGATTTTTTTTTGGTGAGCTGTGGTGCAAGGGTTTCTCTCCTCTGCCAAAATTAATCTCGCTGAAAACATAATCAATAGTAATTCAATATCATTAGTAATAGATCAATAGTAATAGATCAATAGTAATTTAGGTACGTCATTCCTATGAGTAATAAAAAGTAATTAATACACGTTATTACTATCAACGTTAATTAATTACTTAATTTTATCACTACTAATGCATGCACGTCACTGCAGGTGGTGGTGTGTGAGCGCGAGCTATGCGACATTAGCGTGCAGCAGCTGCTGCTGGAGGGCGCACAGGCGGCGGCAGGCGCCTGGGCCGCGATGGCCTCACACGGCTGAGTGGTTGGAGTGGCGGCATGCGGCTGAGTGGATGGAGTGGCGGCATGCGGCTGAGTGGATGGAGTGGCGGCATACGGCTGAGTGGATGGAGAGGCGGCATAAGGCTGAGTGGATGGAGAGGCGGCATACGGCTGAGTGGATGGAGAGGCGGCATAAGGCTGAGTGGATGGAGAGGCGGCATACGGCTGAGTGGATGGAGTGGCGTTAGAGGGCTGAGTGGACGTAGTGGCGTCACACGGCTGAGTGGATGGAGTGGCGTTACTAGGCTTAGTGCTCGGAGTGGCTTCTCACGACAGAGTGAGAAGTTACTGAAGAAGAAGAAGTGATCATAGTTTTGAGTGGCTCTGTGCACCAGGCAGCTCTTACTAAATGTTATGTCAGCACAAACCTGTGTTTGCTATTACCAGGTTTTTAGAGCTTCACTTCTTCTGGTTTTGTCTAGCTTCTCACGGCCGTCTATATGCTCCACTGCTCGTTAATATCTAGAAACAAACGTATAATTTAATTGACATATTCTTGTGTCTCCAGTCGATACATGTCAATGCAGTGTAGCTCAGTCACAAGACGGCTCATATCGTTGGTATTTTGTTCCTAAGTTATTAGATGAATATTGTGCCCAGCTTTCAGTAGTAAATAATGCCGCATTTTTGTATTGTTTCGAGCCGTTACAAGCGCTTTACGAATCCTGTTGATATTGTCGGTCTCTGGCTTACTTGGAAAGTCTGTTTAATGATTATAATGATTATCATACACCACTGATGGCATCTTACGCTGTGACGTTTCGATTAGTGAGTGATTGTTATTCCATAAGGTCTGTGACAGTGTTGTATCTATCTTACACAAGCTTTCTCCTCTAGATCTGTGATATTTGTTACTATTATATGCACGAATCTATTAGGCATTAAGTTCTTAGGCGTAAATATTTGTCATCGCTGTACGCTGTGGAGTCTCAAATGCTAGTCTCAGTTTCCAGTGTTTGTAGTCACCTCCGCTGTTTTCAGCAGTCAATTTCGTGTATTGTGATGAAATGTTGCTGCATTAGTTATTATAAGTCAAGTTTTTATGCTTTGGAGTTGTGTTTCCTTTCTGGTAATGGGATGCACTTGAAGCACCTGATAGCTACCGCTAGTGGAAAGAGTAGTGGCTTGAGTGAAATACATAGATCTCTTATATTAAACCTCATCACATTATTCTATCTTGTTCCTTAGTATAAACTACGGTACATTGTTCTATCTTGAGCCGTTACATGAACAAGTGTTCTTACCAGTCTAACAATGATATTGATTTGAGTTTATGGTGTCGGGACTGATTTGTGAAAGCAAATATTATAGAGCCTTTACTTAGTAAAATTTTTAAAGTAGATAATCGCTTTCTTCTGCGTCATGTCTTGTAGATAAGAAAGCTTGCAGCTGTCATACGAAGTTGAGATCTGTCAAGTGTTCTTCACGATGTGGCCTCCTTACTTGCATGAACGGTAATACCAGTCAAAAGCTAGGAGTTTTGTACCATACGTGCCAATCCTTTGGTACCATTTTGTAACGGTGCGGAACCCATGGATTCATTCATCTTTCGTTGAGTGTGCAGTGACTAAGTGGGTACTTGAGAGCTTAGTAAAATGTTGAATGGTGATGGATAGACGCAGCACTGCAAGTGTCTTTGCTCCTGCGGTCTCGAGTTCTGGAGGAGGAATGTCACTAAATGATTGTATACTTATTTAAAAAGGTTGCTCGTCACCAAACAAGAGTAGCCGCATGATGCTAAGATGAGACTAGGAGTTATTACTTTAAAATTAGATTAAAGTGTCACGTGTAGAGTTCCCTAAATAGTTTTACTATTGAGCAGTGGTTCATTCATTTTATTAGTAATAGTTCAGTGGTGGAACGATATCAATAGTCAGCTCGTATTGTGACACGAAATTATAACAGTATTTTAAATTATATTTTATCAACTGCAGATTAATTCTGTATCCTAGATTGTCATTAGCTATTTCTGTCATTGTTTAGCCCGGATCTCACTAGCTATATTGAATTTTGTTCTCAGAAACGTCTTCATTAGTTGTCTTCTTGCAGAAACCTGGTGATTTTATGCTTTGGATTAAACTTGCTGGTGATTTTATAAACAAAATTGTGACGATTTTAGGCTTCGGATTAAAAAATCCATGTCTCGTTCAATTAAAATATTTAAATTATTTAAAACGTCAATATTTTGTCTATACTTCATTTTAAAATTAATAATGTTTCTGTTTGGTATCATAACCTGGGTGAATCGTTACAAAAAAAAAAATAAATGTTATTTCACTGATTGTTGGTTAATTTATGAAGTTTCATGAACTATTATTTGTTTGTGGGTACTTTCTTAAGTTGTCTAGCTAGCTTTAAAAATCACCCTTTTTTCGTCGACTTTCAACTAATAGTCAGTAATATCATGAAGCGCCGACCGCACGAATCGCCTTTCCTTCTGCTCCAGTTGCCCTATAATTGTATGTATTTTTGGTACTGGTTAAATGACCGTGCCGGATACCAATAGCAAGGTTAAATTCTGAGGAGCGGTTAATATATTTTAGATCGATCCTGCCTGGTAACCTGATCAGTTTGAAAATATTAGCAGGATTTTAAAAGGAAACTCTAGTTTTTAGTTTTTACTTTCAAAATGAAACGTGCACATGTTCTTATATTACCTCTAATGGATTATACCATTTGCTGTGTCAACATCGCTCTGTGACTCTTCACAAGAAGCTCCGTGACAAAAATTTGGATTTTTGCGTGAAGCGTTGCCGTTATTCTATGTTATTTATTTCAGTCTCGTATGTTAATGATGATTTAAGCGATTCATTTCCGTTGTCGTACCTGATATGTTTAACGACCTTGTTTCGTCTATATCGTACAATATTTCAATATTGTTAGGTCCAGTCTCGTCCTCGGTTGCAGACTTTTCTACTGCATAATCTGTTGATATGCGCTGCGTGAGCTGAGCTTAGGAATGCTGTGTTACTGAGCGTGCGAATGATGATATCTACTATGATTTTTTTGGGGTTATTAAAGGGTTAGAATATAGTATAGAAAATGCAAGTGATGATTATAGATTAACGAATACTTTTTAACATAAGATAGATTTCATGATGTCAGTTCATTTACTATGCATGTTGCAGTTACCTAAATTATTGACTACAGAAAAATCATTCATCTGCTTTAAATTTGATTTACTAGTGTCTCCTGAGCGAGCTTTTAAATAATAGTATACTTTCTACTTTTACTGCCAAGAGCAGGTGAGCGGTAAGATCTGTTCCATGGTCATCGAGAAGAAACTACTCTCCTTAATCCGAATTTTTACTAAAAATGCAGCTAAAGAGCCTAAAAAATTTCTCAAGCGTATGGAGCTCAAGTTTAAATAACTAGACGAAACAGAGAACTTTTTTTTTTTGTAGTCAATTGTTGCTATATGGCATTAAAGGTGCAGTCGTCTAGTCGTTGGAAACCTAATGGGTATGCGGAGTTCCTTACAGACTTTGTGATGTCAAGCTGCCTGTATTATGGTGTACTGTCTCTCTTTAGCCTGGGAGTTATTAAGTAGCTATAATGTGTCACATATCGTTTATGCATGTGTAATCGTTCATTATATGTACATGATTCTCTTATAATATTATTTAGCTTAACTTGAAAAAACCCTCATAGCGCATATATAAGTAGTCATTTTTCAAGCTCACGATTTTTTTAATATCACGTAGTGATTGGAGGCTGATACTAATTAGAGGGTCCGTTGGATTCTACTGCCCTCAACTGAATTATCCTGTATTGAAAACTTTAAAATTTTATTGGCAATAACGGTTGCGAACTTGCATAATTTCAGCAATTGGAATCACAACGTTCATTTTCCATCATTTGTTATATTTGTATCTTGCGTCTGAAATTGTTTCAGGCGATTTCATGTGTGCTTGTATTTATGCAGCCAAGGCCAGTTTTTGACTTTTTCGTGATTATCGATCCATTGATAATTATAATGTTGCTTAATGAGCTCTGATAGCTTACCAAAATGTTTGTTTATCTATGTTCAAACGCGTTGTTCGAGCCTCGCGTCGGTCAGCTATACAAATTTTTGAGTCTACACTCAGATTAACTCGTCAAACTCGTAACTTATTCTTCCCCCATCCCTCGAAAACTCGTAACTTATTCTTCCCCTATTTGATTTTTATGATCTCCACTGCATAATATAAATAAAAGAAAATATATTTCAAGTTGGAACAAAAAGTTAGAGTTTGTGATATCTACTCGATTCGTGTTGAAATTTCTTCAGACTTTCCATGAAAATAATTATTTTTGTTTCATGCCAATCTAATTCCGTGGAGTCATTCTGATAAACTGGGAGTTAGATTATAATGACATTCATGTATTTTTCATGGTCTTTATAGACTGAGGTTGAATGGCTTTGCAGCAATTTCAACATTCTTTGTTTAAATTTAGTACAGGAAACGAAGAACTGCCCTATTGATTGGTGTGGAGAACAAAAAATTTGGTACGTTAAATGTACGGATGAGAATAACATATTTGTCGGAATTAATTTTCGATATCTCCTGTATCAGTCTTCCGATGCACGATCAATTCTTGCCGCTTTATCAGCTTTCACACAATTCTCCACTTCGCTGCATGTGCTTCGGTATATCGATTCTAAATTTCCAGTGGCTTATTAACGATAAAGGTCAATAAAATTTACCAATCCAACCCTTTTTTGCTGTATTGTTTGCTTGATACTGCGCTACAAGTCGCTCGTCTTCTAACATCACAGAGCATCAGCATTTAAATAAAAAGTAACAAGGGTTATGTACATAAATAAGGATTCTTTCCTGCAACAATTTAGCGACGTCAGGTGATAGATTTTGTAGTCGAGATAACGTACCTGCAGGAGAACTAGACGGCGGTATGTAGAAACTGGCACCGAAGGCAAAATATCTTACGCGCTTGCTAAAAAAAATCGTATGCATTTACTATGCCAATCATCTTGTCGTCTTGGTGCTGAAAGTTCCAAGCTCTTCCTGAAGTCCTACGTGAAGGGAATATCTGCTATTCTAATGGTAAGTGTAACTTTTTTTTAGTACCGCATCAATACATGAAGTGAGCGAGTGATTTCAGAGCGATAAGTAGCCTTCAAGAATTATTCAAAATATGATCAGTAACCATTTGTTTTAACAGAAATTACTGTCGGCATTAGGATTGAACACGAGACGAGGTTACTTCCCGATTTGCCTCTAAACAAATTAGGTTAACCTAGCGGTATTTCACTAGTGAAGCGTGCTCAGGCCAGCAGATTTTACACTGGCATCGCCCGCTCGTCGGTTCAGACACGTGGCTCGTAGGCTGGATTCCCTCTCGATTATTTATTTCGAAACTCATGACCAGAACGAATTTCAGATATTTTGGGCTGACTAAACTCCTGAGATAAATGAAGGGAATACCATCAAAGTTCAGTTACATTTTACTAGACAATGAACCTACCGTGGATACGAATGGACATGAGACAAACCTCGTGAACTCAGTTAGCCAGGTTGAAGTTCTCGCAAATTGCACATGTGACACCTTAAAGATAACTTATATGTACATAAATGCACAAACTACCGAGAAGTCACTCTTGTGACGGAAAGATGCGGCCGAAAGAAGTGTTCTCTTAGAAACATCGGAATCAATTGCTCTTTGAGTAGTTCAAGTATTTGTCATTCCAGTTTTCCATCTTTGTATTTGTCATTCAACTGAACAACAAAGAATCATGCGGATGAAGAGTTTTCTTGTTGGTTCGGCGCATCTTGTTTTCCCTTAAGTAGAAATATGACGGCTAATGAGCGAAGCTTTCTCGAGTTGGGATCATGACGAATAGGAAGGATAATATCCCTAGTGTTTAGAATAGGTGCAGCCATGGAGGCAGGTATGCGAAGGATTCTCTTCCTAATCTTATTTACAAGCAAGCGACGAAACAACGCACGAATCTATAACTTGCTCAATTTCAATTTGTGCACCAGTAGGCTCGGCTAGGTATGGGGCGAGCTTAAACTGAGCCATTTAAACTATCCGTATTCGTCTCAAGCATAGCGCAGCTTTACGAGCAGTAGTAAGAGGACCCTTGGCAACAAGCTATGAGTCGATGCTAAATTATTGATATTAGAAATATTAAGAATTACGTTACAAGCTTATTCTGTTTCAACAACTGCTTAGTTGTGAGCCTTGCATACGTTCGGTACAGAGAAACAGACGGGCAGTAACAGCAATGAAAATTATATGCAGTATTAAAATCGACAATTACCACGGCTTGATTACACTTCGTAGTTTGATCAATGTGCGTTTTCTACAAATTGTTTGATTTATTTCGATTCCGAAGCAGCTCAGTAAGAAGTAGAAATGCCTTCCATGTGCCATTAAAACCGTAGAAAAATATACTCATATCTCAGAGAACTATTTACAACTCATTCCGCAAGTATTTTTACAAGTGTACATCGGTTCATTCCGTATTCGGTAATTAATAAGGTCACCAAAATTCCGTAGTGATCTTATGAAACACTGCAAGTGTCCTACAGCACTTGAAGTAAGTAGTACTCCAGCACCATCTATAATGATGATGCAGCAAGCGACTTGAGATGACTCCATCCTTCTCTCAACACTCCGAATTCAAGTAACAACACATTTTCAGTCGGACAGATTCCCCATCTATGCCAGCTACGTCGGTAGTCCAAAAGCGTCTATATCATAACAAATATCATGGAGTATTTTGATACCTGATCAAAAAAATATATATTAGACAACAGCACTAAAGAAGGCTAAAATTATCATTGGACTTTCCAGTCAACACCGACAAAAGAATGAAAATAACTCTCTGTAAAAGGTCTGTAAAAAGGTGACTCCAATACTGGCAATTTTGCAATTAAAGAAATTCATTACGTGAGCCCTGTCTACTTCGTCGCTTCCAATAGTTGAAAATGTAGTAACTGGAGAAGCCCCTTTAGAAAATGCATAGAACTTACAAAACTTCAACTTAATTAATCCAGAGACGAGATCGAACAACTAGCGAGATACACATCTTCAAACGTATCTTGACAAATAAATAAGAAATGCTTACCATGCCCTCTAAACAAGAGGTTATTAGAAGTACGATCACAGACTACTAACAAATGCAACATCCGCAATGAGCCAATAAAATAAATAAACGCAGTCAGACGGAACAAACTACTGCAAACTTCACCTAAACAACAAAACATTCTGCAATTAGCCTCAGGGCTGCAAGACAGTATCAAATTTTGTTCCGTTCTATTTGCGTGGAAATGAGAGATCAAGGACAGTTGATGAATTTCCGAGAGAAGACGAGCAACAATTCCCAAGTCCCGCGAAAATGATCCTATAAAATATCCACTCAAGACAGAGTTGCTAGTAAGCCCATCAATGCTGAGCTTGGGGATGGATACCTCATTGATCCAAAAAAAGAACATGCGTAAATGAACTTACATGACCACAAATCAGCAATTTTTGTGCAACCACTTATTCAGGTTGCCCTCAGATAACTGCCATACAATAGAGAAACATTCGACGTCGTGAAGTAACTGTGACATAAAAAGCGAAAGAAAATGTTCAAAAATGAAATCGGGCAACAAAAAATAGCCTTTGATTACATGAACTAAGCATTAAACTAACGCATCAAGATTCATCTGACATTTGACTTGTAGTAATTAGATTTTAAAATGAAGATGGCGATGCGCAGGGGGAGGAATTAAACCTCTAGTCGAGGATGAACATGAGAGCCTTCAGTAGGAACTTGCCGAGCTTCCTTAGAGGTCGGCGTCGTTGGTTTCTCTTGAGCAAACTTGGGGTCGCGCACAGCGTCGACTCCACTCCGAAATCATCTTCGTCCATCGACGGCGCTTCTGAACGGCTGCCTGAAATCGTGCACGGAGAATCTATTAACACGAGGAGCCGTACGATCAAAAATATTTACGAGTCCATAACTCTGTCAGCCTATCACTGATGGCTTTTTAAGCCAAATCACAGACAAGAAATCAGCAAAGACTTGGGCCACTACGTGTACCTGAGCGAGTTTAGATACTAATAATTCTTCAGCCTAATACTTCACCTGTGACAGTAAATACAAATTTGAACGTATCAGGCCTCTTATTCTCCTTCTAATTTTTTTATGTATGAGAAATAAACTGAGAATGAGCGCAGGCTAGTTACTAAATATCACGAAAGCCGCAAAAAGTCAAACATGAACCCAGCAAGTATGAGGAGATAAGTGAAGGCTTTGAGGTTATATGTAAGCATTCAAGAAACAAATTTTATATTGCCCTCACAACCAATATAAGAGCAATGGCACTTTATTTTAAAACTCGCCTGCAAAAGATTTATTGTCAAATGTAATAGTACTGATGAAAAATAACGGGCATCCAGCACTAGAAAGCTCACCGTTATTGTGAGGGCAAGCAGACTTGGCGACGTTAGCAAACCAGACCATGAAGTCGGTGTACTTCTTCATCTCCTCGTCACTGACGGTGCGATATCCTTTCTTAATTACGTCTAGAACGTCGGCCAGCGTTATGGGCTGCACAGGACAAAACATCGTGATATCTGTTCAATTTTAGTAATGGTTTATTGTCCAAGAAATTTTTATTATTGTATGACAAAAATTAGTGCCCAAATTTTGGTTTGAATGTTTTCACGGTCATTCATTGTGATTTGATGATTTTTCACCCCAAAGAATCTCAGGAGAAAATTCAGTCAAAGTTTTCATCGTCATCGTTTTTTGTCATCCGACATAAAAACGACAAAATCACGCTAACTGAAATTCTTCCATTACGTTCAAGTCAATCGCCGAATCAAAATCTATCTATGATGATAAAGAGTCACAGGAGTTACTCACGACTATGTTCATAGTGCCTGCTCCGATCTCATCCAGAGCTCGCATGGTCGCCTTGTCTTCCCCGTCAACTTCGTCCTCGTCGGTGCAGCTTTCCTCGTCAGTGGAGCCCACGTCACTCGAGTCCGTCCCTGTGCTGCCGCCCGTCGCTCTTGCTTTGCCGTCCATGTGCATTTCCAGAGCGTCTACCAGCTTTGCCAAGTCATCATCTGATGAAAAAAGAATCCAATGAAATTATAATGAATAAATAAACTTTTAACTCCAAAACTATTCAATTTCAGTCATTATCTGATGAAAAATAATACGAAAAAATCCTTACGAATGAATTAACATCATTACTTGCGAGATTTTTAATTTCAAAGTGAAATCGTCGTGAGAAATTAAAATTACGCTTCTTAGTTGATTAATACATATGTCGTGCCGAAATTGCGAAATTGAAGATTCTATGGAATCGGCAGCCAGTTTACCGAATCTGTAGAATCAGCATTTCGTAGCTGATTCAGAAAATAGGACGTTAGAGTAAGAGTTGGAACATAAATCGACAGCTAGAGTTAGAAAAAGTAAGGTCAAGTTTAGTAAAGTTCCTTAACTTCCTTTGTATTTAAATATTAAAAAAATAACTTGGCTGACTGATCTAACCCCAGATTCCAATAGTACAGAAATGCTGATTCTACAGATTCGGCAAACTGGCTGCCGATTTTGTAGCATCGGCAATTCCGCGATTTCGGCACGACACATATTAATTATCAAAACCTTCCGAGAAAATGTCGACAGACAAATGTTTCGATTCATTGCCTGGAAATAAATGTAGAATAATTCGGAAAGAGAAATAAATCCTGAAATGATTAAGATTTTATAGAAGCAGCTTGTTCTCGCTCACCGTTCACAGAGAGTGCGGGTCTAGACGAGTCCACGACGACATCCGCAGCGGCACAAGCAGCGACAGACGCGGCGCCGAGGCCACTGATGATTTTAGGAGGCGCGTCTCTCTGTCATACGAAAATTTTGTCATAATTTTTAAAGTGCATAATCAATTTTGAAATGCCCAGGCATTTTTATTTCTCAAGGAGACGAGTCGAAAACTTTACGAGAATCGGCGAAAGGCTAAAGTTAACCTATTCTTTAACACCGACACTGCTTAACTATACTATCAAGCACACGCAAAAGATGTGCCAGCTTCCTGCCACTGACCTGCGAGTCGCGACGTGCCAGCTTCCTGTCACCGCTGGCGTCAGACTCGAGGCCTGAGGCACACACAGGGTGGAAGCGCTCCAGTGCGTTGCTGTTGTGTACGTCCTGTAGCCCTTCGCTGCCGGGGCTGGGGGAGTGGCGACGGGGACGATGTTGATGAGGGGATGGGTTTAGTTTTGGGGAATCAGGGTGCAGGCCGTGGGAAGGTTGCTGCCGAGGCCTTGGCTGAGGGTGACGATCGTCTGACGGTCCTCCATGAAGGCCCTGAAGAGGAGAGGAAATATACAGGGCCTGCCATATTTATGGCAACGGATGTTTGATATATTAAAATAAATTGGTTTCTAGGAGACTTTTCTTTTATAATGAAGCTTAATATTATCTATTAATTCATCTATTTTATATTGCAGAAGTCTAAGGTGTCTAAATTTACTATTATTCTGGCAGTAGCTAGAAATGCAATTGTAACCCTTCATGAAAAGGGCGAGATAAATTCAGTCATTGCAAAAAAGCTCCAAATTAGTCGTGAAACTGCGTGGAAGATGGTAAAAAAAATTCAAGGAAACTGGTGAAACATGCAATCGACCTGGTCAAGGAAAGAAACGAAGTGTCCGAACAAAACAATTGGTCAAAAACACGAAGGAGAAGTTGAGGAGAAACCCTCGTCGCTCAGCTGCAAAATTGGCTGCAGAAGCAGGAATCAGTCAGACAGCAATGCGTAAAGTCCTCAAAGATGACCTCAAAACCTCCCCTTACAAGATGAAAACAAGACATGAACTAACAGACCGCCATGAACGAATGAGGCTCGAAAGATGCCAGCACATTCTGGATCTCATTGAGGAAGGCACGCTGCCCAACTTGGTGTTCAGTGACGAGAAAAAATTTGACATTGAACAAAGCGTTAACCGTCAAAATGACAGAGTTTGGAGTCGGGATGGATCTGTGGCAACCAGAACAGCAACACGACGTCAAAATCCCATGTCCGTGATGGTTTGGGCCGCGGTAACCGCCACTGGGAGGTCCCCACTCGTTTTTGTCCCCTCAGGAGTGAAATTGAACAGTCAGCGATACATTTCGGACATTTTGGAAGCTGTGTTGTTACCTTAGGCCCGTAAACACTTCAAACGCTCAGCAAGGTAGTTTTCAACAAGACTCTGCCCCATCATATGGCACAAACATGACCCAAAACTGGATTCAGGGTCACATCCCAGCGTTCATTAGCAAAAATGAACGGCCCTCAAGAAGCCCTGATTTGAATCCTCTCGACTTTTCTGGGTGGGATATTTTAGAGAGTAGGGTCTGCAGAACACCTCTTGATTCTTTGGATAGTTTGAAGTCTAAATTGACACGAAAATGGGACTTGATCCCTCAAGAAATGCTGCGTGTCTCCTGTAAAGCTTTCTCGCGTAGATTGGAGGCCGTCATTAAAAATAAGGGTGGTCATATTGAATAAATATGTCTGAGAATTGTTAAGGTAATTCTTGTCTACTAGCTCATCCAATAAAAAACAATGCACCTGTTTGTTTCATTGAGAAATAACAAAAAACATGCGTTGCTACAAATATGGCGGACCATGTAAATTCCAATTCTTGAGACTTACATAGACCCTCTATGAACGTGACTCTAGTTTCCTTATTTTTTGTATTTTCTGCGTGACGATACACGCACTGCAACTCGACACACGCATGCGTCACGTACGTGATGCATGGCAGGGCTGGGAGAGGCGCGTCCGCTGCCGCTGCTGGCGAGGGTGGCGGCACCGCTGCTGCAGTTCGAGGGCGCGGGGCTGGCAGGTGGCGTCGGTGAGCAGCCCGGCGACGCACGGCGCAGAGGTGACACTGGAAATTAACATGAGAAATCAGCCTCATAGTTTCACTCAGTCAACCGTTGCAGTAAGAAGTTCGAGTTTTATTTTTGTTCAAGGTATTTGATATCGGTTTGGTTTACAAAAGAAATAAATAACCCAGAAATTGAATCCTGCTACCAGACACAGCACGAAGTGATGGAACAAAGAATTGATTAGTGAACACCTTCCATGACAAAAAAAATATGGATGAAAACTTTCTCCTGGGAATTTGAGCCAGTCATCTGCTATCCTGATACTCAAGGATATGTCTGGTAGTTGAATTTCATCCTTTTCTCGGCAAATTACCTAAGCTTGGAAAAAATAACTAACCTCCCCCGTTGCTTATAGACATGGGCGGTCGTGACAGCAGCTGTCGTAAGATGTTATCGCTGCCTCCAGCGTTTATATCGAGGGAAATGTTAGGAGGCAAATCCTCTCCACCGCAGTCGAGGGCATGAGGGGAGGGTCCTGACGGCCTTCCAGAGTACACACTACGGGAGTTATTATTGTTATTGTTGCCACTATTGCCGCCGGCGCCGTTCTCAGACATGGGCCCGATGGCCACGGGTCTGTCTGCAAATCCGACACGGCGTGGCCGCAACATTGGAGACTCGTTATCGCTGTCGCTGTCCACGGCTAAATTGTCGTCTCGTAGAGGCTCTGGAGGTTCACTGTAATGGAGCTCAACGCTTTCTTCTCTCATATCACAGGGCCCATTTAGGGCAAAGTTTTCGTTAACCACTTGCTTCTGCTCTGCTTGTGTTGGGAAAGGCACATCTTTATGTTCAGGATGAACGATAACCTCTTCAGTTTCCGAGCATCCCGTAGCGTCAACTCCTTCACTGTCGTGGGTGTGATCTCCTGTATGAATATCACAAGGGAAAGGTTCAGGGTCGTACAAGCTGCCATCAGGCAAAACGTTATCGTAGGTGCTTCGGTCGGTGTGCAGGGAGGGAGAACTGGGAGACAAGCTGCGACTCCTTCTTGACCCTGGAGATGCTTCAGCTGATGATATAATATTCCCGTCATTAGCAGGAGCTTCTCCTATTCCAGCTTCTTCCTCCTGACCTATAAATCTGTTGTTTGTCACCGGATCTTCATTCGAATTTTCGTTTCGATCTTTGCTGGAGTCTAGACTCGATGGTTGAGCGTCATTGGATATGCCGTGATCCAAAATGTAAACAGAAGTATGGTCAGCAGACTCGCGAGAGCTGTTGAGTGGAGAGTCGTCACTGCTGCAGCTTTCCTTGTCATCTAAATTCTCGTACGGAGCTATAACGTTATTCTGATGAGATTCATCACTAGGAGCCTGAGCTTTGTGTTGAGGCGCATGTGGGCGTTTTGGCGTAGTATCTTCAGGCTGACCAGGCAGCGTCTCCTCAGAGCTTTGGACCAACCCAGAATCCGGCGATGCTGAAGTTTTTTCGCTGGGTGCTCTTTCCTGTCGAAAAAAATGTGAAAATTTATGAAATGACTAATAATAAAAAAGCATAAGCCAAAGCGATTAAAAAAAAACATTGATTTTCAATCTTAACTTTTCGGGAAATGGATAAATTCAAACACCATTAATTCATATCAACAAGAATGAAGTTTTCACGCGCCAACAGAAGCTTTAGATACCAAATTTCAAATTATGCTCAAGATATTGAATATTTACATGCGGTATTGGAAAAAAACGTCCAGAATATTCTCACTTTGTTTGAAACGAAAAAAATATTAATGAAATGCACGAGTCAATCTGAGCAGTAACCGAGATGACAGAAATACGATGCCACTGACCCTCTGAGTAAGAATCGCGGCTTCATCTTCTTCACTGTCGGTCGCCCAGTCAGACTGTAAGGTCGCTACCGCGGCCACAGTCGCTACTCCGGCCGCCCCGACAACGCGGCCCAACAGACCTTCTCCTCCAGCAGCCACAGCAGCACCTGACACCTCCTGCTGAGGAGCTGGCGTCTTGAGGGGCTGACTTCCTTCAGGAACGGCAGGCGAAGTCCGAGCGTACGCAGCAGCTGTAACTGTTCCCAAAGCAGCGGCGGTCAGAGCAGCAACAGCAGCCTCCCGTTTCTGCTGGTCTCTATAGGCGTTCAGTCCGTCTATGTCGGTGTCAGAGCCAGTCTGCCGGACCAAAAATTCATCATTATTTTCTACCTAAATAATGCAAAGTTATTGCAGACTGAGACATAAATAAACGTCAACCAATTCATTTACGCATGACATTGGAGAACAAAAAAATTTGGACATTTATGAACAGTCATGTGCTTTAAAATGGAAATTCTTGCCTCAGTAAGTTCAGATGACGGCGTCGTTGATCTGCTGTTTCCATCACTGCCGCTACCTGACCTCTCACCGCCGTCAGCTTCCCGTCCGTTCACCATGGACAGAAGGAAGGAGAACTGACGGTAGCTGAGCGTCTTCATGACGACCATAAGGTCCGCAGGAGTGAACCTGGCCGAACAGTAAACCACTTTATCAGTTTGCCACACGGTAAAAAATTCATATTTTGATTGTGCTGTGACTGGAAGTGGTCTGGGTTATTATACAATCTTAGACCGGTGATAATTGATATATATCTATGGTGTGGTATATACTGCAATAATCCACTTTATTAGTTGGTCACACGTAAAAAAATTCATATTTTGATTGTACTGTGACTGAAAGTGGTCTGGGTTATTTTACAATCTTAGACCGGTTATAATTGATATATATCAATGGTGTGGTATTTACTGCAATAATCCACTTTATTAGTTGGTCACACGGTACAATGCCGAAACCATGGCAGGGTAGTTCGAAATAAGGTTCCGTTACCATGAATTTTGTTATACTGCCAAAAGTGTAACAATGGCAAGAAATGTTCAAATGATCTGAAATCTGAGTCTCAAAATCAAATGATCTGCTATCTGGTTCCTCAGTATCACAGGTATACAGGAAAATGAATAAGTGATTATTCTAATGATATTCTTTAGTTTAACGAAATAAAAGGCCAACGGAATACCAGGCCAACAGGTTTTTTTGAAGGTGGAATGAACACATATTCCTCCATTGAAGAACTGTTAAAACATCATATCGCAGATTACACGACAATTCTAAGACGTAAAGTTTCTAGTTCGTAAAACTCCTTAAAAATAATGGAAATAAGCGATAAAACGGGTTTAGAAAATTTAAATAACTTCGTAATCATACCCTTGGGTCTTCTGAGCGACCTCCATGATGTCATCGTCAGACAGGCAGTGATGCACCTCCCTGAGCAGCGTCTGCAGCAGCGTGTAGCGCGCGCCCTTGTCGGGCAGCCCTACGAGGTACACGCCGCGGAACCTGCTCAGCAGCTCGTGGTCCTGCCACAGCATACGCCCAATATTAGGACATGTAATGAATTTATATTATTATTATAATATATTTTATATATTGTATTACATTTTTCAATATTAGGACACGTAATGTAAAACAATCTAATGACTGAATTAGATTGTTTATGGTTTATGTGAACATACAACGGCACCCAGAGAAATGAATGCAGCATATTGTCTAAGTATGGACACACTTTCCGCGCGTAATACTGATAAATTATATAATCGTACACGTAGTACTGAGTTAGCTAATTTAGAGTTCATGTGAACGTAAGACAGCGCTCTAAGAAATGAATGGGTCATATTGTTCAATTAGTGTTAAGCTGTCTGCACGCAACACTGACACGCTCTTTTGCCTGATTTAACTAGTTCAGGGAGACCCAAACATGGGCAAAAATGCTTCGCTAAATGGATTGAGTCCGACTTATTTCTCTGAGTTTGTTCCTAATCAGCACACAGTATTTTGAAAGGACAATTTATTATATAAATCCAAAATGTACCGACCTTATACAGAAGCCAGGGAGAACTGGTGGCGGCGACGACGATGATGCCGTTGTTGTCGGGATACAAGGACTCGTCGTAGGAGTCGTTGAGCTCCGGCGCCGAGGGTCGAGGACGACTCAAGCTTGACGAGCGCGACGAGCCTCGACTACTGCTACTGCCTCCAGGGCTGCTGTGAACCTGGTAACATTATGTGTGGTCACAAAAACGTCCCCGAATTTCACTCCAATCGGGGGTATAAATTTAACAACCTAAGCCTAATTCCAGAAGAATTAGTCCGTAAATTTCTTTGTTCCGGTTAAAACCTTATGATCAGTTCGGGACTTCCTAGTCCCGTCACGCTGATGTAACAGTGCTATAATGTAACTATTGAAAAAAGGCTTTATTTGTATAGAATTCCTTTGAAAATTTGACTTCATTTGAAGTAGCATCGCCCAGTAAAGGTGTGTGTGGTCCAGCTCACCTGCTGCTGTGTGGGGTTGTGTGCAGACTCTGGGTCGTGTATAGTCCAGCTCACCTGCTGCTGTGTGGGGTTGTGTGTAGACTCTGGGTCGTGTATTTTGAGCTTGCGAGGTCCGAGCTGAGAGAAGATCTCTTCACGTATCTGCTGTACGGGTGGCCCGCAGCTATGCTCACTGCAACCAAGAGAAACTTTAATTTACTGCAAAATAATTATGGAACTTCCTGTAGGTGTGAAATAAATTATGGAAAGACTAATTCATACGTAAAACAGTGAATGCTCACACTTCAAACAGAAATATAATTATCAATACATGAATAGATTCGACTTCAGATGTGCATGTCAGTTGGCAGTTCCTGAAGGGAGGAAAGTTTTGTTTTCGGCTTATTCGTAGATATGGCAAGCTACGCATCCAATAAGCTACGAGAAAAATCTTCTCTTTATTTCAGCTTGATCCGATATAAAATGTTGATGGAAATTCCTAGACGAATTCATGGACGGACGAATTTATTTTATTTTAATATGGAGGAACGAATACACGTAAAAAATATTAGTAAAGGAATATATATACACGTACAGAATATTAGTATAGGGTGGGAACATGTAAAGACAGGTCACCATCGACTTATTGGAGCATCAGGCCAGATTACTTGAAAAATCTCTGGTAGGTAACACACAATTCATCACTGCTACAGTGTCGGATTGTAGTTTCATAATGAAGGGAGTGCGGAGCTCATAGCAGAACGTGAAGAAAGCTCACATACATGCCGTTGTAAATTCATAGTTTCCTATCATTAGGTGCACTCTCACACTCCCCAAAAGATACTCAACTCTGGTATTTTAGCGTTGTAAAACTATGCAGCCAACAATGGGTTAAATTAAGCCAAAAATTAAATTATTTAACCCTACAATGGGTTAAATTAAGGCGAGGATTTCAAGTGGATATCATACTTGTCGTGGTTTGCGAAGATGCTGTCGACGTCGTCAAGGAAGACGAGGCTTGGGTAGTTGTTCCTGGCCTGCGAGAAGAGCTTCTTGATGCTGGCAGCGTTGTTCACTTGGTGAGTGTGTACTCCAAACAGCGGCATCTCGCACACCTTCGACATTTGCTTCACCAAGTACGTCTTGCCAGCACCCGGCGGCTAAAACATGAACAAATACGTCAAGATTTTTTAAACCTAGATTAAGCACAATGGATATTTTGGTTTCTTAATCTTTTACTCGCTGACAGTAACTCTTGATAACTGACATTTAAATTTGCATAGTATCGCTAACGGTAAGTAAATAAGTGTCATTTACAAATCGATAACACAACGCATGTGACATGTGCGTTATGTTATCAAAGATTTTTATTTTCGAAAATGGAATAAATTTCGGACGTAGAAGTAAAAATAATTTCTCGCGACTCACCCCCACGAGAAGCAGCGACGGGGGCTTGTGACACTCGCATCCTCCAGACTTCTCCGCCTGCTCCACAAGGTTGCCGATGAAGTTCCGTAAGGCGTGCAGGTGCCTGAAAAAACACGTTGTTTTTAATGGCTTATCACAATCATTTTACAAAGATAGAAATAATAATGATATTGTGAAAACACGATGTTTTTAATAGTTCATCACAATCATTTTACAAAGATAGAAATAATAATGATATTGTGAAAACATGATGTTTTTAATAGTTCATCACAATCATTTTACAAAGATAGAAATAATAATGATATTGTGAAAACACGATGTTTTTGAATGGTTTATTACAATCATTTTACAACGATAGAAATAATTATGATAATCAGCTGTAATTGCACACCAATTAAGTTATAATTTTGGGCAAAGTAATGATTCCAGGGTAGTCCTGTAAAATTAGCTAACGATAATATAACGCTTCTTACACACTAACATATGAATTTCAAAAACTTTTAAGCAAAACTAAACGGGAGGATGGATTCGCGATTTCGAAGACAGTTCCGCAAAAATATCAAAAGCGCATTTGTAACCACTAATCGATGAAAATTGAGAAAATATAAAAGTGAACTTTCAAAGCTTTCAGAAAGTGGAATGCTCATTACACAATACACACTCAACAAGAAAGTTGGCGCATTTAAAAATTCACGACGAAAATTTACGTTCACGAACAGGTTGCAATTGTTATGATGTGCGTAACAATTGTTATGCAGGTTGCAGTTGTTATGATGTGAAGCATAACATATGTGTAGAAATTCAATGAACGAGGAGATGTAGCTCCACTGGCAGGACACGCAGAAATATGCCCATAAACGTGAAGAAATAATAGCCCATAGAGTAGGATGGTATCGGAGGCGTTTGTATTCTCCGGTTTTGGTGGAAGAGAGCAGCGCGCCTGAAATGTGGCACCGCTGCGCCAGCAGTAGTAAAAGATCTGGCAACGTCGCGCGAACAATGTCGTCTACTAACAGTTCAATGTGCACGCGGGTGCCGGCAAATGAACGCTAAAGATAAGTTTTCCATCAACAAATATAGCAATCGAAGAAATCAAAAATACATGTGCCATGGTCATCGCTGATATTTGAAAGACAACTGTATATAGAGTGCGTGCTTTACGAAGCATGGAGTCGAGAATGGCAGGAATTCAGAGGTGGATAGACGCGCGAGGCACCGCCACGTTCACCGCAAGCCTTTTATTCGTGTTCTGCCCGGCCGCAGAGCGCCAACCAGACAGACCATTCCAAGAGACACCTCTCGTCGACTGGCACATGCCTGCTTCCTTTGTCTCTACAAAGCAAACTATTATAAGAACGAAAACGGCAATCTTTGTTCACGGGGAAAAATTGCAGGAGGTGATTGCAAGCACCATGGCAGAAGATATAATTAGAACTAGTAATCGAAGTTCAATCATCTGGCCACGCACAGGCACAGTTTCATTGAAAAATTTGTGTATAATATTGCATTGAAATCCGATCATAAATATTTGTTATAGAGGATTTAAAATGGTACCGTTTTACAAATTATGCAAATTTTCAATAGGACCTGCAGTGTACATTTGTTCTAGTCGTAGAAGAATTGGTCGCAAAAGTTTATAACATGAAATGTTTGGATAATGATCAAGCTGCTTGACAGTTTTTGCATCGAAGCAGCCTTCAGTGGTGCCTAGACGACGCATCTTCAATGATGACTACAATTGCCAGGTTTTAGTAGCCTTGAGGATAGGAGTTCGCTGGGCTCAGTTTGAGTTATGATGGCAGCGGTCCTGAGGTCAAGGCTGCTAGCCCAAGTTTCCTTTAGGATCAAAAGTCGTTCGAGATCACCAAATTCGATTTAGTGCGAATAAGTCTAAGAGTATAAATTAATTTAATAATAATAAAATGGCTAATTTCATCAAGATCCGAATTTTGATGATTTTATTACACGATAAAAATGTTTTCGTACCATGTCGGACCTTAAACTAGGAGCATGTACGACTTTTATCTCAGTAGCGACAAGGCTATCTTAGAATCAACACCCAGAGAAATGTTGGTCAGTAAATGTTCGTGAAATTTCCATGAATTGAATTAATTCATATCCAATAAGCGGGGTGGTTCCAATGAGAACCGAACGCTGTCAGAGCGGTCTGTAAAGCAGCGCGAGCGACTGACCGGCAAGACTCGTATATCACTCAAAGAAATGAGTGTTACCTTGTCCGCAAGTTGGTGCAGAGACACGGAGAGTAAATGTAAGGAATGTTAGCTGAATTATTTCCGACAAATTGAAATGGATTTACTCGAACATTCCGGCACCGTTGTAAATGAGGAAATATTAAAACTGAAGTTAATGAGAACAAGGGCTTCTATTTCTGCGCGCGGAACTACGATAATAGATGGAATACTGAATTAGATCAATGGCTATTTAATTCTTTCAACTAGGTGGCCAAGTATTGAACTTTTCTTACAATCGAGAGATAAAATAGTAACAGGTGATTTATTTTCCTTAACCAAAGTGCACGTCCAGTAACCTATTTAAACAATTGTATGCGCCACAGGAGTTATAGCAGGCACATATAAGTATGTGATGGTACATATGCAGGATATGCAGGCAAATATTAATATATAATGGTACATATATTAATCAGCACTTGGAGTACATACCCGTGACAATAATTCCGGGTCTAGCAGAACTAAAACTTCGAAGCCTATCAACCGCAGGCACCGAAGAGTCAATAGGAACCACACTGGCTTATCAGAACGGCTTGGTAACTATAAAACAGGGCTCTGTGTATCAAGCCTCCTTCAGTTTATTGAGCTTATGATAAAGTTCAATAACACTGATACACAGTGTTGATATTGATGCGCTGCGCCTCGTAATTATTAAGGTCAATTATAAAATGGTGGACCGAATTAATTGGTACCGCACCATTAAATAATAAACATTATTTTATTTTTGTCTTGAATGACGTTTTATTTATGTCTTTAATCTCGTATTATTCTTCTCTGTGTTTGATGCAGATGACTTGAATGCGCCTTTGTTGAACCCACGGCTGGCACTAGGGTATGTCACCCACAAAATACACACACTGAGCAGCCCAGTTTGTTTACGTTCGCAAGATTTGCAACGCAACGATAGCTGTAAAAAAAAACGTCGAGGTACTCGAGAAAGTTAGCACCAACTGGTTCGAAAATGTGATAATAATATAGTAACCAATAACCATGAATATAAGCTAACAATATCAGAACAGCCTGAAAATTTTTAGACGCTTATAAAAATATTCCGCCTTTATTAACACGAGGAAAAAATAAGCGTTACGCAGATAATTGCTACCTTTACAGACTAACTCTAACGAAACCCATCAATTTCCTGCGATACACTTTCAGGACCTTCACAAGGTCAATTAATCCGAGACACTTGTATACTTAGCGGTATCGCATGGCATCACATGTACGAAAATCCTGCACGAGTATCCTATGACTATAAGAAGACAATGTTAGTACATGAGCAGTCAAGATCGAGCAGCTTCCAGTTTTTATAGCTAACTCGGCCAAGAGATTAGCCACGCTCTGGGCTGCACAACTGCTTCTGGAATGCGAGACACGATCTCTATGGTCACCTGAGAAGCTCAGAGTGCAATCTCGGCCCAGGCGCTGTTGGGTGTCAGTGCATTAGCAATTGCCTGTTTAAATCGTAGACACGGCGTTTGTCTACGTGGTAAGGAAGCTCAAGTCTAGTGCACTTTGATAGCGGACAAGCAACTTGAGCAATTGTGTCGTATCTAAATTTTTCAAGGGTTTAAAGAGGCAGAGAAAACGATAATGCAAAAACAGAGGAAAGTTGCTCATGTAAATTTATAGAATTAAGAGAATCGATTAACATAAAAGGTATTAATGAAAAAATAATAAGGATAGGGCAAATGACGACAAAACAAAGGAACATAATTATTAATAAAACACTAAAAGGTACCAGCAAAAAGACAAGATTGGAAGAATATGACATATTCTTCCAAACTTGTCATATATTGCCGGGACAAGAATTTTGTTTTAAGAATTAACATGATAAAGAAACACACTTAGGACTTACCGAAATATATTTTCGACTTGCAAAAACACCTCAAGGCTATCATAAGAACGCTCAGAGAATTAAAGTGTACAAATAGATATTGAACAAAGAAGAGGACGCAAAAATCAATGAAATCATCCGATCATTCGATGTGAAAAATGTTCAGTCGGACTCATAGTTATGGTGAGGAGAAAAACACGAACGATGTGAAGAAGCGGGAAGCTGATGATAGATAATGACGAGAATTTAGGAGGATAAGTCACGAAAAAGTAGTACAGGATGGAGCCGAAACAGCACTAAGAATGGATAAATGATGCAAGCAGAAGACAGATTATTTGGAGAAATAAAAGATGTGTAATGAACAAATTCGAAGTCTGACGAGAAGTGAAGTGAAGGAATAAAGTAGAGATTGAGTAGGGAAGTTGTGAGAGATTGAACAGGTTATTAATAATTTATTGTGTTGTTCATATCAGCATTGGCTGATTCGTGTTCTCATTGCAGCTTAAGGTTGTACCTATCCGATCACCGGGCTGAATACTGCAGGGATGAAGATGGCTTCATTTTATTTTGTGTTGGAATGCGTCCCTATAGCAAAGTGAAGGATGGATGACTCGAGAAGTGTAGGACGGAGGCGATGCTCCTGAGCGTGACAGGATGTCACAAATGAGAGCGAGCACCTCACGTTCGCTTCACGAGTCTGTCTTTACGACTGTCCTCAGCCTTACAGTGCCTAAATCCGGCCTCACTATTCAGTCTTTATAACAGTCGCCAATCGCACGACTCCCAACATGGCACCTCACTAGTCAGTTTCTGACTGTCCTCGGCCTCACGCCCGCCTCATTAGCCAGTCTTTTCGACAGTTGTCAGCCTCACAGCTCCCAACACAAGCCTCACTAGCCAGTCTTCAAGGCAGTCGTCAGCCTCACAGCCCCAACACACGCCTCACTAGCCAGTCTTCACGACAGTCGTCAAGCCTCACAGCTCCCAACACACGCCTCACTAGCCAGTCTTCACGACAGTCGTCAGCCTCAAAGCTCCAACACACGCCTCACTAGCCAGTCTTCACGACAGTTGTCAGCCTCACGGCCCCAACACACGCCTCACTATTAAAATTTGTCATGTTTGCACGTTAACGATGCAAAAATTTTAAAATTATATTTATCTCTCGATCAGGCGATTCCTCGTGCGTAGCTCAAACCGCAGTTAACAATGATCAAAATTAAAACCGAAGTTAACAATGATTGACGAGTACGCGAGGAACGGCTCTTCCATGGCTGACTGTAGTGAACTTTCTGAGTATATCAGAAAAAAGCACGTAGTTGTTCATAATTGATAGAGCTTATGAAATCAATATTAAGAATTATATTGCTCTAACAAAAACTATACAAATCATTAATATAAGGAAGATATTTCGAGCCGTATATGGGTATAAAAAATTGTGTAGAATACTAAACGATAAATCTGTCTTGATATAAGTACCCAAGACCTTAATGGTAAGGTCCGCAAGGAAAACCTTAAGTGCTCGAACGGGAATCAACCTTTTGAATGGTTCACTGATTTCTCGCGTCGATTCAAACGGCTTCTTTTATGCTGCCACAATATTTCTCGGGCAGAAGCAGCCAACGAGGTGGAACACAGAAACTCCAGGCTGTCAGTGACTTTCTCTATACAATTTGCGCTGAAACAGAGCGTTCTTTTGGCGGGCGTTCGTTCAGTGCGTCCGTTTGGCAGCCGGAGTTGAGAAGGATGCGTTCAATAGAGCAGAAGAGTTGTTACCGTTGCGAGGAGAAACAAAGAAAAGATGCAGGATGATTTCAAAATGAAGTTTCCATTAGGTCAGTGGAGATATCTATTGAATAGACGAACTAATTTAAAAACCCAGCTCAACTTACGGATGGAGTTTACCATCGAAGACGTCGACAAAATAAGTCGAGTCTCTGGAGTAGCGTGGGACCGAGAAATTTTCCTGCACTGCAGCGCTGTTCAAATGATGAGCTTGAAATCCTAAAATACACTTTCTCTCTTGCGCGTACATCCTGAAATTAGATTGAACTTCAGACCCGAAGATCACTGCAGAAAACTGGCATATTGCTTAGTGGTTACCGCAAAATTTACGTGGGCACTGATACAGTTCGTTAAATATTCGTTCGTCCTCGTGCTCTCAAAGGGAAATTTGATTGCACTGCACAGTTTCTTCCAACATCATGTTCTTCGCTAAGGATCTTGATACCTTTCAGCAATCTCACAATATTTTCTGCACGTTCCAACGCTAAGTGCGCGCAAAGATCTAGAATTATCAAGGCTACGCTTGTATATTGAATAATAAAAAGGTGGGCTTTTACCGCAATATTTGAAACTTTGGACCGCACCACCTAGAACGGCTGCTTACGAACTAGCAAAAGTAAGAATGCGACAGCACGATGTGCGTCGTAGGCTGGTGTCAGGAACAATCAAGCAATATTTACATAGATACGTGAAATCTAATCAATTACTTCACTGATAGCGAGTCTCAATATCTGTGGATACAACATACGTCACAATACGAGTAATATTGGTGACATTTAATGATTGATATCGAACAATGATGTAAATCCAGAATTGTATACATGTAGAAGTATTTACTTACGAATAAATTTGGTTCAAAGAATTAAAATTCATATTGTTTTATTTTTTAGCATGAACATAGAATACAAAAAAAAAATACTGTGCAGATCTTCCCTATGCAGAATTATATGTCAGCATAATCCGGTGTTAGCAGGGAGCGCCAAATTTTTTTTTTTTTCAGAAAGAATACAAAAATTTTTGTGTACTTATGTAAAAAAATATTTTTTGTGTACTTTTAAGGACAAATTTCTTTTAATTAAGGATAAACAACAACTTTTAATTAAGGATAAATCATGATTTACGCATATTTTTGGGGACGTCCGCGCTAGGACGTCCCGCGGCAAATTCAATGCGAACGAAACACAATACGATAACTCAAGGAGAACTAACGCGAGCAAGTGCAACTGTATATCAGAAGAAATAATTTTTGACCAATCCAATATTAATGACAAGAAAATAATGTTTTTCTTTATTTTATTTTTTATTATTTCTTATATTTTATTTTTTTCTTGTCTGACATAGGTCAAAGAAAGTGAACGCCTGGCATATACTAAGACTGGACCGTGATAGAGAATTGGAATCGTTGGTCCTTTGCCCATAAAAAAATTGGAAGAACGAGCAAGTGTAAAACACAAATTCAGTAAGATTATTGGTAATTAAGTGTAAATTGGTAAAAAGTGTAAATTGGTAAAGTGTAAATGTAAATTGGTTAAGTGTAAATTGGTAAAATTGGTAAATTAAGTAAGATTATACTCAATAAAACTTGTACATCTTTGGCTACCAAATTGTCTTATCTCTTTTAAATTGCAACAATAAGCATGTTTTTTCCCACAAACACTTTTAATACTGATTTAGATTCCTAAATTAGTATCATTGAAGATATTTTATTTCACAATCCATCGAATTGCTCTCGAAAAATTGGCGAATTACCTCAACAGCTAATTTACCATATTTGGTAATCCAGGCTAACGGGGACGAATGAAAAATTATCATAAAGATGCAACTTAAGTAAAATGTGACGTAGAAACAAGATGCAAGTGTATAGCAGTAAGGAGCAGGAAGGCGCGGCGTCGACGTACGTGCGTCACATCTGAGGTGCGTATCCGGCGGAAGAAGCGGCGCGGGAGGCATCGGAGCAGCGATACGCCGTGAGAACGATGAGTGAGAAAACTATCATGACGAAACTGCTCAAGAAGCGTACACGACAAAATTTTGTCGTTAACAAACGCGTATGTTAAAGTTGTAAAATGAACAACATCGTAAAAACACGCGTATATTAAAGTAGTAAAATGAACAACATCGTAAAAACACGCGTATATTAAAGTAGTAAAATGAACAACATCGTAAAAACACGCGTATATTAAAGTAGTAAAATGAACAATATCGTAAAAACACGCGTATATTAAAGTAGTAAAATGAACAACATCGTAAACACACGCGTATATTAAAGTAGTAAAATGAACAACATCGTAAAATTACGCGTATATTAAAGTAGTAAAATGAACAACACCAATCGATTAACAGTAGAATCTGCACAGCAAAGCTTGACTGCGTGAGTCACACAAACACTACTCATTCGCTTGTGCCGATGAGCTCCATAGTTTTTGTGATAGAAATACAATAAAACATTGTAACATAGGTTGCTGAGTCACAATTCATATTTTATCACGCCTAATTTCAAATATCACTGAATCCAATAATGTTGTTTACGGAGACACGGAAGAAATAAAGTGTTAGCACCCGATTTCCAATCATTCGGAACATTGCTGCAATGAATTATTCGATTGATAACGCGTCAAATCAACACAATAGAAGACTTTACATGACGGAGCTTCCAGGACTATACGGGAGCTGTGCGCGGGATGGGGTCGCTTTCTCAAGCCGGGGTCACCAGGGTCGCCGGTGCCGGGCTAAAGGTGCTACGTGACTTCCAGCGGCAACGGCGAAGATAAAGAGGCAAAGGTGCCGATAACAGCGCCAACAATGGCGATAACAGCAGAAATATAAGAAACGAAATTCAAAATAATTTCAGTAGACAGCAATGATAAAAAATCAAATAACAAACCTTATATTTATTGTCCTGCATTTAATAGAAAGTCAAATTCACCACAGAATCTTGGTGAGGAATGCCCATGTTCAATATCAACCCCACGCCGAACAAAGTAGTCTTTATTTTTTTTGTTAACCTGCATAAGGAATTCTCAGGAGTCACGAAGATATAAAAAAGTACCGTAGTATTTTTTTTGTTAACCTGCATAAGGAATTCTCAGGAGTCGCGAAGATATATAAATTCGTGGGAACAACCGTGAAAATCTCACACAACCTAAGACGATGTCACGTATTTTCCAGGGCAAAGTTCTGTCGCCCCAAGTTAAACAATATTTCACGAGGGCGAGGGAGGTAAGAAATCTTACAAAGAATTGACTGGGAAGAAGTACATATATATCAATTTACGGAACTCCGAGACGGAAAAAAATTTGAGTAAAACGATAAATTGGCATGCGATTATATTTGATCGTCAATTTCATATCATCTCCGAGTAACTCAGAAGCCACATTGGACGCCCAAAGAGTTATTGTTTAGAAAATTGCTTTCAACATGGATTCCTCGTTACGCTCACACTAATCTGAAAATATATCGTACTTATTATCGACTGTAAATAACAATTGAAATTTATCAACAGTTAGTTAGTTGAAATTTATCATCAGGCGTCTCTATTAAAAGATAGTTTCAAGTGAAATACACTTCAGGGGAAGATAAAACATGGTAAATTAGGAGCTCATACACTCGCTACTAAATTACATTGAAAATTTTTTAATGTGGTCTCAGAAAATCCAGTTTCAGGACATCAGAAGTTTATGTAGTGATGAAATTCGAAATACAATCTAAGAAGCTCCAAGTTGGATGTCTCATGAAAAATAATTTCTAAGCTATTGCGAAATCCACGAACACTCCGTACGCTTTAGACGTACTGACGAATTTAACGAGCGTACAATACGTGTACGTAATAATAATGAACAAGTAATTCCACCGACAGGACCTCGCTAACAAGGATGCTGCTCACATCGAGCCATTAACTTCGGGCCGTGTTGGCAGAGCGCCGAACTGGATCATCAAAAATGCTGAACGACGAGTGGGCGGCTGGGTTGTAATGACCTGACGTGGTTGTTATGACCAGACGTGGTTATGACAAGACGTGGTTATGACAAGACGTGGTTGTAATGACCAGACGTGGCTGTTATGTCCAGACGTGGTTGTTATGACCAGACGTGGTTGTTATGACCAGACGTGGTTGTAATGACCAGACGTGGCTGTTATGTCCAGACGTGGTTGTTATGACCAGACGTGGTTGTTATGACCAGACGTGGTTGTTATGACCAGACGTGGCTGTTATGACCAGACGTGGTTGTTACGACCAGACGTGGTTGTTACGACCAGACGGGGTTGTTATGACCAGACGTGGTTGTTACGACCAGACGTGGTTGTTACGACCAGACGTGGTTGTTACGACCAGACGGGGTTGTACCACGACAAGACGAGGTTGACAAGACCATGACAAGACGTGGTTGTTATTACCAGACGTGATTGTTATGACCAGACGGGGTTGTTGTGACCAGACTTGGTTGTTATGACACCGCACAAGCACGGTGTAGGTAAATAACCGGCAGAATAAGGCTAAAAAATTATTTTCCACAATAATTTAGATAACGAGCAACGTGTTTCCAACAATTCTCGAATAAAACGAACCCTTTGAATCATGACGAGAAATCTGATCTTCCAGGTAATAAACAGAAGAAAATTTGTGTCAACAGCTCTTAGAACCCCGTCTTGGAGGCGTCACATAGCTCCTGCTGCAGAGCTCTTCTGCGATTTAAAGAATTAGTTTTATTAATAGAACGATTAGAACACTGCTTTTTTAATCACTTCATTAATAAAATAAATGTTGTAAATCTCAGACGAGATATCTGAACTTCCAAATGAAGAACAGAAGGAAAGTGTTTGAGTCAGCAGGTCAAAGAAGGGTTTGCGATGGTCTTGGAGGCATCGTAAACCCACTGTCGCAGAGCTGCATCATTAATGCTTCATCGCACTGCATCATCAGAGCAGCCATCTCCCGTAACGACGCACTGAAATACTCAATAGAGCTCTGAGCTCATCTGCACTGACGACAGTTTCTCGACCTCATCATAAGGAACAAGTTGAAGTTGAGGCCCATTTTTAACACTGTTTCGGAGAATCTTAACAATGCTTCAACTAGTTTATTATGTTTGGCATAATTTTCGATGAAGTAGTCAGCAAACACATTCTACAGTAATTTGTTTATACTATTAACTATTAAAAGTATATAACTATTAAAAACTATAACTATAAATATATAACTATTAAAAATCTTACTTCAAGACGATTACTTTAATTAGTTCACACAGATTACAACACTAACTTTGTAAAGTTTAAGCCAAGCATTTCAGAACAATTACTCCTAATTCTTCCTCTCAGTTCATAACAATATATTTCATATTGTCTACCAAATCAAAATGTCTACAACAAATTCCAAGTAATGTTCTGACAGCAGAACAAAAAGAAAACAGTTAAAATCATATCAGTGAAGCTTACGTCATCGTCACACATGGGTTTCATCGAAGCACAACAGCAACCACATACCTGCAACAAAAGACAACAATTAACACAAGAGAATGTAAAGAAATCATACACATGTTGCAACCTGTATCATATTGAGGGACGTGGAAGAGTAGCGCCTAAAT